CCTCAGCTCTGAGTTGTACAGCTTGTGTAAGCTTTTCATGCGACTTGGAGCCCTTTAAAAATTTCTCTCTTTCTTACAAAAAATGCAGATATGATCATACACCCTTGATGCTGATGAAGATCTCCTTCTAGGCCTTTTTGATACACAGCCGTACTCAACATCTTCATCACCAGTAATGCTTTCCTTGGCTTTCTTTTTCAATGACTCAAATTCCCTCTTCATGGTGAAGAGGCTTCAGCATTTTCTGTGATAATAAATTGTAGGCACATCCTTTTCTCCAAGTTTTTTAGCAATGTCTAAAATAGGGGCATAGTTTCTCACTTTGGCTGCCTCAAGTAATGTTTCCCAGGATTTATAGTCTTGGGGAGTGACTAAATGTTCACCATCATCCTTGATCGTTTTATTGTGTATGATGCACTGTTTAATCGATTCTGTCTGCTTAGGACCCTCCATCATAAAGGAAAGTGATTCAGCTCCTTGACATGAAAACACTCTGCTGTTCTCTGAATTGTGTTGTACAGGACTACTCCACCACCACTGACTGGCTTATTTATACTGTGTGTCTCAATTAACTCAACGCACAGCATGTGTGTGTTGTGCACAACAAGCTCCATCCATTTAGACTGACTCAGGCCAGGTGTGAGTGTGACAACTTAAATCCCAGCAAGAATATAATAGAAATATCTAGCCTATGCATTACTTACCATGTTTTATGTATTAACGTGTTTAGGTTGTGTACAAATTAAACCTTTGTGTTAGATCTTTCATGAAAACGGAAGACATATATTGTCACTATATTTTCACTGCTTATAAGAGAAAAAAACATCTAGAGATGCTGATTCCAACAACTCTACTGAACAATATATAGCCTGGGCTTTATTCTGACATTTTTTCACAGAGATAGGCTCAATTAATAAGAGAGAACCATCAGTTTGAAGTAGAATGATTGATTCAGATTTCGAAAACTCTGTTTTGGCATGTGGTCATAAATTGAGTGATAACACACAGAAAGCTACCACAGATGCAATGCTATCATATTTTTTCTAGTACTGGAGGTGTATACCTACCCAAAAATCACTATGAGAATTATTCCCCCCAGTTGATACCGATGACCCCATATTTGGAGTCCTAGCTCAAGGCCTATTATCTCCAACGGTTGACTCTACACTAGAATCAATGTTCCTGCTCGCCTTCTCCGGTTTCCTCAGATGCTCCAAATTCGCGCTGACCTCTTCCGTCTTCAATCCATCCTATCACCCCAAACTATCAGACATTGCAGTTCACACTTCAAATTCTGTCATATTCACGCTCCGACGTAGCAAAACATCTGAGCTTGGGATCTCTTTCCCCATTTACACCTTTCACTTAAATTCCTACCTCAGTCCATTCGAAACATTCATTAAATACATCAGCTCCAGGTATAAAGCTCAAACATCACCTCACGACCCACTTTTCCTTACCGAAAACGGAAAAATGGCTACACAATTCTGGTTCCATAATCACCTGCATCAAGCCCTCCTCATGTAAGGCATAACATCAGAGCACTACTCAGCCCGTTCATTCCGCATCGGTGCAGCAGCCAGACTTGGCATATCAGATCAAACAATCCAAACCCTCGGTCGATGGTCATCTGAGGCATACCTCTCCTACATTCGAAATAATCTCCACGATCTGCGTCAGGCCCACACTCAATTAAGCTCCCTTTCATTGGGCAGCTTGGGCAGAGCTATGCCTGAGACGGAACCCCCATCATGAAATTCTCACTGCTGGGCCTCTAAAGAACCTCCTAGACCAACCAGACATGCGACACTCCTCATCAACCTCATTATCCATAACAACATACACGCCACAAGATATACACACTCCTGAAATTGTATTATATATTCAAACTTATATCATTGTGGCGTGGTCATTGCTAGTGAAAAAAATGTTAATATTATGACAACATGCCACAATGCCACATGAGAGAATGTGGATTTGTGACATCACACATGATGTCAGAATGTCACATGAGAGAACGTGGCTTTGTGACATCATGGGCTCTACTTTCGTGTACGCTGGTGAGGCGACGGAGGGTGGCGGAGCCCGTGCAGTTGTATTTTCGTCTGGGGGAGCCCGGCGTACGGCCAATTTAGGATTTTCGTGGACTGAGGCACACGGAGGCGAGCCGAGATCCGCCAAGCTGGGCGTGGTGGCGTGGTAGGGGGAGGTGTCAACAGAATCAGCAAGCGCAGTGACATTCTCGTGCTCACCACCGGCGTGTAAAGTGCGCTGAAAGCTCGCCGATTCAAACCTGGTCAGTTTTCAGCGCAGGCGGAGCGCAGCTGGTCTAGTGGTATTTTGGTAGACTGCTGTTGTGCCGTAGAAAGCACCCCCAACGTAGAATGCACCCCTGACTATCTCTGGCTAGGAAGGTCAGAGGGCCATGAAACTCACCCTGGTTACTCATACTTATCCTCTCTGTATACTGTAAAAATCATGTGATGCAGGGTCCAACAGAAATGCATTTATGGTGGGGGTGCATTATCCGGCAGCATGTCTTTGCTTACTGACTGAGACAGCACCCCCTGTCTATCTCTGGCTAGGAAGGTCAGAGGGCCATGAAACTTACCCTGGTTACTCATACTTACCCTCTCTGTATACTGTAAAAATCATTTGGTGCAGGGTCCAACAGAAATGCATTTATGGTGGAGGTGCCAAACACGCTCATCAGATCAGATATAGAATAATAAGATCTACTGATGTATACACAAAATAGTAGGCTACTTTTGTTGACACTTGCCATGCTGTGCAGGCAGCTTCTTGATTAGGTAGGCTGTATATTGGTCTATAGTCCAACTGTTGGGACTCTGCTACATCTCCTTTGTACTAATAGCTGGTAAGTCCTAGTGAGTGACCAGCCTGAACTAACTGAGGCTGCTGCTTAAGAACCTGGTTGCTGACACATTTTGGAGGTTAAGAACAGGTTGCGTAACAAATGCTTCGAGTAAAGGACTGGTTAACTGACAAGTGCTGATAGTTAAGAACAGGTTAGCATTCAAGTGCTGCTGGTCAGTGACTGGTTAACTGAAAAATGCTGCTGCTTAAAGACTATTTACCTTACTAGTGCTGCTGGTTAAAGACAGGTAAACAGGCCGATGTTGCTGGTTAAAGACTAGCAAACAGGCTGATGCTGTAAGTAAAGGAGTTGCTAACAGGATGATGCTGCTGGTTCAGGACAGGTTCATGGATGGAAGCTGCTGGTTAAGAACCAATTTATTGACTGATGCTTCTGGTAAGAGACTAGTAAAAGGCTGATGCTGCTGGTGGAGGGTTAGTTTACTAGTTGATACTGCTGTCTTCAGTCTTTTTTACTTTTTATATGACCAAATATTTAATGTGAGGGTCTCTGTGTGCATCAGCAAGGCTGTGCTGGATGTTTGGACAGATCTGACTTTCAGACGGCTCTGTGGACGCCTCTAATACTTCCTTACAGAGGCTCTGCAGGACTGAAGATGAGCCTGTAAAGGATTTATATTTAAAACTGAAATCACTCTTCACTTTAAAGCTTGATGTAAAAGTGATCTCACTCTTTCTCTGTAAGTTTGGTTCAGAGTGTTCAAAGGCTGCTGGAGTCGGGCGATCTGGGACCTCAGGGGGTGCTGTGGAGATCTGTACAGGCTCTGCAGAACAGAAAACACGCCACTAAACATCCATCATCTCTCCCTTGGATCAAAAAATCATTAGTTCATCCAAACTCACCCTGAACACATCTACCTTTGCCATTCTTCTGTTTAAAGGTAGGGGGCACACTGACTTAAACAGCTGTAGACCGATCCCTGTGCTTTGGCCAACATATTTAAAACCCTGCTTAGTGAACTTCTAACAATAATAATATAAAAGAAAGCCTTACTTCCAGCTCCATATTGTCTTTTTCTCAGTTAGGGCTCTTAAATTAAAAAAAAAAAAAAAAAAAAAAAAAAACAATATTGCTACTGCTATGAAGGTTATGAATGATATTCCTGAAGCCCTTGACAGTAAATAATGTTGAACACTGAAAGAAAACTACAATTGACATTTCTATGAATAAGCTTACAAAGAAATTCACCCCCTTGTTTTCTGGATTGCAAAGTCTTCTAGTGGTATCAAGTGGCAATCAGTTTTCACTTCAGCTAAAAAAAATGTAAAGTGAAACATTGACAAAATTGGTCTAAAATGAGTGCTTGTGTCAGCGATTGATTAAGCTTACCTGTATCCATTTGAATTTGTATTAAGAAGAAGCCTGGACGGTCAGTAATCTATGAACCTGCAGTCAAAAATTTGGGGAAACCAAAACCAGACACACAGCAGTTTAACGAACCTGCAGCTTAAAGGTTAGTTACGCTGTAGAGGTGAGGACAGACAAATGTTCAAAAGGCTGGTCTTAACTTTGAAGTGGTAAATTAGTTGGTATGTTTAAAATGCAAAACTATTAATGTTCTTTTTTCCTGACAAATAACTTATTGTTACATGAACAGCTAAGGGGTTTTTCCACATTACCACATGCAGTACCTTCTTTTCTCTAAAGTGTCCTTCTAAGGTATGACTGTGATAGGTAGTCCCACAAGTTATACTGGAGGAACAAACCACAATCATGTAAGAGATTATAACTTAAATATTTTGTATCAAATAGCATTAATTTGTGAGCATAAGATAATTTAACCTGAAGGAACAAGTTGTTAAATTGCGTGTACATTTTCACCATTAATGTTTTCCTGTGGGAGTAAGTCTTATCCTGATCAGCACAAACCAGTTTGTATTTTCAAATGGAAACCTGAACCCCCTGTGTTTATGGACATGTTTATGAAATAGTTTCTGTCTTAAATGAAAATTTAATGATGAAACTCTAAAAGAGAAAAAAATCAAATATTGTGTGTGTTTTATTCAAATGAATCAAAATCCAAAATCTCATTATAATAAAGAAATATACATTTATTTTTCTATTTGTATATCCACAAGAAAGAAGTAAAACAATTGCAAAATTATTTGAAATGTTTTATTCTGAATGACCACTTAAGAAGTCACTTTTTTAAAATGTACAAGCTTCAAGGACAACTACAAAATACACTAGTATTCACACGTATCAAAGCATTTCACCAACATTACAATGAGCTCAATGAAACCAGCCGTGGCACAAACATAAAACCCAGCCCAATACATACGAAATAATAAGACATTGTCAAAAAACAGGAACACATCATGCCCACTGCAAAAACATCTTTGCAAATGTTTTCATCTAATTTCAAATTTTTATAAGTCCATGCAGCAAGTCCAGAATAAATCTCATTAAACGCCTGAACTGCCAGCAAGGACTAAAAATAAATGACGGCACAGTTACGAAAAGTTTCATCATAAATGTTTTAAAATGAGCTGTAATATTTATTTCATAAACCTATTCACAAAATTATGCACACTTATTTAAATCAACTGATTACTTACATGAAATACCTTCAAAAATGATTTACACAAAGATTTCTCGGCTTCATATATCAGTTAATTAAGTGTAACAGAGATGTTACCCAGGAAATCAGACAAATACATTTGCTGCAATTTGAGTTTATGTAGGGAAAATAGAGCAAGATGAAGGATCATTATTCATAGTTTACAGCAGTAATATCATTAATAATAAAATCATTCATAAAACACGGATACAGAGCTGTTAAGGACCTGTACAGCCTAACATATGATTAAAGACAAAACATTGTCTTGAACTAGAGAAAAGATGACCTGTAGATGTAAAATTCATAGCTACAGGTCTAAAGAAGGGACCTGTGAATTTCAATGGACCATAATATGAGGTATGGAGTGTTTTCTTTGAAATTTAGAGGTGAAAAGTATCACGAAATGCTTCAAGGATAAGCAAAAATTTGACATTAGAGACGCTGCAGGCAAAGTGGCCATCTTTTTGAAGAGAAGAAGATAGTTTAAAAAGTTTTAGAGTCCGACTCAAACTTTTCAAAAAAAAAAAAAAATTAAAAAAAAAGTTTCTACTTTCAGCATTTTCCAGGAGCAGTAAAAAGATAGCCCCGTCATACAGCCAAGTTAATATCTTTATGTTTTAACATGGAATTTTGTGATTCAAGTCCTAATCAGGGCTGAAACTAATACTTAAGATGAATTTATGGATCCTTTATGGGTCGAAGCACTAATACCACTCTGTAAAAATACTCCATCACAGATAAAAAGTGCTGCAGTAAAATATCATTCAAGTAATGGTATTATCATGTGAATCAGGAAAAAAGTGTCAAAGAAAACCTAAAAAGTAAGTTCTCACTGGAGCTCTTTTTGAAATGCTGGATTGCATGATGGAAATCTTTTATGATGCATTAATGTCATAATTTTATCCTCTATTGTCAATTCACAGTTGAGTGAGTCAAGAGAGCTCAACAGACCAGAACCCAAAGTGAAATAAACAACAGCCTTATAAAGACAGTTATAAAATTATTTTAAAAAAAAGTAAAATTATTCAAATATTTAACCATCTTTAAAAAATATTAAACTGTTGACTGTTTGAATCATTTTTGAGGGGGCCCAGCTTGCAAAAGGTTGAGAACCCCTTCCTAAGATCATCAGCATAAAGACTGAGTCATGTTTTAGTGGGTATCTTTGAATATAAGTCATGTCACTCTGTTAATTATGACAGTGATGCTCACAGTGTTTTTATGAGCCTGTGGTTAAAGACCAGTGATTTAAGGCATATGTAAGTACTGATCATTTCTTCAGGTCATCATCTAGCTCTGTTTACTTCTGTTACTTCTGTGGGGTCTGCTGAGGTGAGGCCAGGGGACACTGTGTGAACTGAAGCTGACGCTGATCCAGTTTCTAAGACGCACGACTGATTTGAAGTCGGGCCAAGCTCCCACAAAATTGTACATCCGTTGCCGTGCAGTGTTCAGAGTCTGCGAGGTTGATCATGGTCTGATCTGCTGCTAATGTTCAGGCTGATGAATTTCAGGCTCATCAGAAATTTTTGTTCAGCACACAATGAATACAGTGAAAGCAAAGCCAAGAAAGAGCCAGTTCACTCAAAACAGGGCTTTTTTTGTCCACTGTAAAATGGCAGAAAGTTTCATAGTTGCCTTTCTTTTCTTACATTATGCTCCTTCAGGTGTTGTGACTGTACTGTTTCATGACTGCTTAAAATTGGTCAGTATACAAACACACAACCTAGTCACTTAAATAAGCAAAGTTCTGGTTCAGGCAGGAACCAGAGTCAAGTTTAGTCCACAGCACATCAGCTAATCTGTACACCAGCCCAAAACAGCTGACAACTTAAACATTACCTTCCATGCATCCAATTAGCAAATGTCACCTGTGCTCTCTAACTTCCTCTCATGCTGTGTTTGATCTTACCAGTATCACATATTTATTGTTATAGATGCTGACTTGGCTCTGTTCTCTGGTGGTCTTTGCCACTGCTCTCCCTGCCTTGGCTTTTTGTATATGTGCATGAAAGGAAAGGGCGGTGGGCTCTCCCTGCCTCAGGCTTTGGCCTCCCATATAAGTTTGTGGAAGGACATAGAGCTCTCAGGACAGACACCCTCAAATATAACTCATTACATGAAGTTTTATCATTCTCTTTAAGTGAACCGGCACAAGGTTGATGCAGGTTGGTTTGTTGACATACTGAATACAGGAAAATGAAGTTGTCTTTGGTTAAAAACTAAAAAAAAGTTGCCCTTTGTGGTCAAACTCAATTAACCAACTCATCATTTGGTCTGAGAGCAGCTTTGAGAATTATTGTAGATGAAGGGGAAGGGCCAGCTACCAGCAGAAATGCAGCGTTAGTGAATAAAATGTTTGAGGAGGATTTGACAGTGTTTCAAGAAAGGTTTTCTTTTTGTCCTGTTCAAAGTTCAGTGACAATGGTTAACAACAGTCCAGCAAAGAGTTAGTTATCTCATTCAGGTCTGAGGAGTTTGAGTTTATGAGAGTCAGACTGAGCTGCTCTCAGCACACAGTCTTTGACCAGCAGATGTTCTCTGGTGGAGACAAAGAGCTGAACCCATTCTTGTCCTCCTTCTCATCTACGGCTGATCCATTACCGAGCTTGTGCTGTTCCTCACTTTCATCCTCTGATGGGACGCTGTCTTCCTCATCTTCCTCTTCAACATCACTCCTCTCATCTCTGGTCAGCTGGGACCGAAATCAGAGAGAACAATGGTAAATGTAAAGGCAAAGAAATATGAGGGAAGGGGGCTTGGTGGCAGGAATGTAGCATCAAGACAACCCTGTGTGTGAAACTCACACATTCCTCAGAGGAGAGGTCCCTTATCTGGTCCCAGGACACAGGATAATGTAAATCTTTCTGGACTTGTTTGTACTTTAACCCAACTGACCCAAGACTCACCTGACCAACTGACTCACCCGGTTGACCTAAACCCCTGGCTCTTAACTATGGGTCAATTTGGAGAAAAGAGACAAAGTTTTTATTACCTTTCAGACTGACTCCATCACTGACCATCTAAATAAACATTAATGCCTCAACCCAGGTCTCCCATTTGAGATTTACTCTCTTCAAGTGTGTGAACACACAGAATCCAAGGAAAGGTCTGAGGGGTAGGACACTGACCTCCAGACCTCCGTAGTTAAACCTTGCTCAACCATGTACTGATAAAACTGTGTTCCTTTGGAGAAAGAATACAATTGACTGATCATGACATGTGATGCATTCCGCAGTGTACTAATCTGTATTATCATGAAATTTGTGTTAAAATGAGATGTGTCCTGTTTTTCTATGTGCTCCAGAAGCCAAGTTATCACTCTGACAGAATAAATCCTCATTCTTTACTTTCTTTAGACCAACAGCTTTTCTGTTTCATTAACTTTTAAGAGTTAAATTACTTGAGTATGACTCATAACTTTACTCTAAGTAACAGAAATAGTTTAGAAAAGTTTGGTTTATATTTAAATCTTTTACTTCGTATTTTTAACCATTGGGTGGTTATAATGTCATTGAATAATCTGAATATGAGTATACAGAATCCATTATTAATCATGAAGTTCATTTACATGTATTTACTCTTTTGTTGGTCACTGTTTCTATGTGTTACTATCTGTTTCATTTCAGAGTAAGTTAGCATGTTTGATGTGATACTTAAAATATAATGAAAATGTTTGATGTGATTCTAAATTTCTTAATATGTGTTAAGTATAAAATCATCTATTATGAACCAAGCACTCAATAACATTCATCATAGTAAGTATCAGATCTGACTCCTTTACCAGTCGAAAATACAAGTTAAATCAAATAAACAGGGATCCTGGAGGTCTCTTCTAAAGAAGCTGCAACAGGAGACCTGTGACCCCTCCTCTCTCCCTCACACACACACACACACACACACACACACACACACACACACACACACACACACACACACACACCCCAGAGAAACCCCCAAAACTGTAATTAACTAGAAGATTAAAATAAATCACAAGCTTTTAGACCAGGAGCTCCCCAGCACTCAGTCTCCAAGACTTTACAGGACCCCAAGACCTGTTGTGTTTTGTGTCATTTACTGTGTCCCGACTCCCCAGAGCATAGGAACTGGACATACTTGCCCATTCTGTGTGACATAGCATTCAACACTTGGGACAGCACACCAGAAAAAATACTTGGGGAGTGGCACCAACTATGATGGTGCAGGAAAAGAGTTTTTCCACACTGTAAATGCTAACATTCAAATTAATTAGGAATGATGAGTGTACCAAACTCAGAAATCATCAACCCATTATGAACATTAATCTTATACAAGTAAGTGGAGATTTGGGGTTGGGGAACATGCTTAACTTAATGTATCCCACTTCAGTTAAATTAGATAAATTAATTTATTTGGGCGTTGTTTCAGACATGCACAGATCTGCCCCATCTACTTCGTGTGTTCCTCTCAACTCGGAATATGCGGGAAAGGCTATGGTAAACCGGAGCTCCATTAAAAGCACCCAGTTTGCGTCAGCGTTGTGTGGAATACCAGCAGACTATTTACACTGATTTGTTAAGTAAATATCTTAGTAGTTTGTTAACCATCAAGTTTTCTTGATGTGGTTTCACATTAGTGTGTGTTATTACCAAAGGGTAAGTGGCATAAATAGGATAATGTTCTCAGCAGTAGCAATCCTATTTTACATTTCAAGTTATTTTCTTCTCTCCTGTCTGGAGAGACTCAGTGTGTGTTTAAGTGGTGATGTCGTCACATGTGCGAACGTTGCATGTATGTGCAGTGCGTATTCCAATCAAAGCTGTTCGCAGCATGATCGGAGATAGTTTAATAGTCAGTAATGCTCCGCCGATAAACCTTGTTTCAATGTTGTTGTTTGCAGTTTACATACATTTAAACTGACAAAGCACTTGTTGTTTTTGTCAAAACAAGACAAAATGGCTCTTGATCTCCCCCACCTCAAGACAATCAGAGTAGCTGTAGATGGTGTAATACACTTTGCCACTCCTTTTTTCAGAGCTCCAAACATTCCAGTTCTTGAGTCTCCAAAGGAAGCTGTCCTACCACGTCTCTGTGCTACAGAGAGACGTCTGTCTAAAGACCCCAAAATGTCTGCTCAGCACCAAGAGGAGCTGGATAAGCTTGTGCAGTCTGGCTTTGTCAACAAAATACCCAGTGAGCAGGTAGACAAACCAGCTGAAACCTGGTACTTCCCACATCACATGGTTGAACACAACAACAAACCCCTGGATGTGTTTGACTGCTCCTTTGAGTACATGGGACTATCCCTGAACAAATTTCTTCTGCCTGGTCCAGCCCTTGGCCCCTCTCTCGTAGGAGTCCTACTCCGATGTTGCCAACAGACATATCCATCTGTGGAGACATCAAGGGCATGTTTCATCATGTATGCCTCCTGGAGGAGGACAGACCCCTGCTGTGTTTTATGTGGAGAGAGATGCAGTCAGACCAGGAGCCCAGTGTCTATGAATGGCAAGTTCTTCCATTTGGAACAACCTGTAGCCCATGCTGTGCCACCATGCAGTTCAGGCACACATCTAAAATCACTCTGAAGGCAATGAGGAGGTCTGTCCAACTTTGTTTTTATGTAAAAAAATTGCCTCCAGACCCTAAAGAGCTGACACTTGGCTTCCAATGGAACTGCTCCACAGACATGCTGGGTTACAAGAACAGGTCAGTCGCCTACCATCAGCCTACAATGAGGAACATCTACAAAGTGGATCCAAATGCACAAGCCTTCATTAACGCTGAAAGGCATGTTCTGCCAAAGGCTCAATCTGAGAGTTTCCCTGAGGAGTTCAATGCCCTTAAAGATGACAAACTCATATCAAAGAGCAGCAAACTGCTCCACTTGTCTCCTGAATGTGATTCTGAACTTGGGCTCATCAGAGTGGGAGGTCGGCTCCGGAGAGCAGAGTCTTGAACACGACAATATCCATCCAATCATACGAGAACCAAACCATCCCATCACCAAACCCCTTAATCAAACACTATGATTAGAAACTCCTCCACCCAGGCCCTGAGCGTGTCCTGGCAGAAATGAGATGCAGGTATTGGATCCTGTGCAGTTGCCAAGCAATATGGCAACATCAATACCAGTGTCAAGACTGTCGGAGATGGAGAGCCAATCCCATCATTCCCAAAATGGCAGATCTTCCTCCGGCCCATCTCAAGCTTTACAAACCCCCCTTCTGGTCCACGGGCATGGATTGCTTTGGGCCTTTCACAGTGAAAATTGGCCATCGCATGGAGAAAAGGTGGGGTATTCTCTTTAAATGCCCAACAACACACTGCATTCATATTGAGCTGCTTGACCATATGGATGCAGACACATTTATCATGGCCTCCAGGAGATTTGTCTCACATGGAGGAAAATCCTTACGAACTCCTTTCTGACTGTGGGACCAATTTCAAAGCAGGACAGGCAGAGCTACAAAGTGCTTAAACCATGGCACCTGATCTACAGGAGCAACTAGCTCACTCACAGGTAAACTTCAGGTTCAATCCTCCATCTGCCCCGCATTTCGGTGGCAGCTGGGAACAGCAAATTAAATCCATCAAGATGGCCCTCAATGCTGCTGTAGGAAGCCAGACAACATCAGAAATGGTCCTGCACACAGTCTTAGTGGAGGTGGAGGTGATCCTGAATTCAAAACCTTTGGGATATGTCTCCTCTGACCTCGCTGACTCAGACCCGGTCACACCAAATGTGTTGCTCATGGGGCAGCCAGATGCTTTCCTTCCTCAGGCCATCTACTGTGAAAGTGATCTTCTCAGCTGACATAAATGGCATCACAGTCAGATCTTAGCTGATCAATTCTGGACAGCCTTCCTTCACCACTATCTCCCCAACCTTTAAACCAGGCAAAAATGGGGAACTGACCAGGAGAACCTGGACACCAGTCAGGTGGTGATGGTCATTGATCCACGATATCCCCGTGCATCCTGGCCCATTGGAAGAATAACCAAAACTCACCCTGAAAAGGATGGTAATGTTTGCAGTGTCACAGTGGCAATCAAAGGCCACGAATACCTACGCCCAGTCTCAAGGTTAATCCCTCTCCCTGAAAAGGACACCTAACTGACATGTATTTGCTGCACAAATCCGGGGGCAGCTGTGTCAGAATTCAATTCATTCCCTGCACTAACCCTCCTCTCCAGAAGGAGACACTGAACATTTGTAAGCTGCAGCACCAGTCTTTCATTTTGATATGACCTTAGTTGGAATGAAATCTTTGATACTTGATGACATTTTTTAAAGTTTATTTTTTGTTCTTGTCTAGAACCATGGCAAATTCAACTTCAAACTCACCTTTGGAAAAATAAACATTTGTTGATTGAATTGAAAAAACGTTTCCTGGTTGTGTGGCCAAATTAAAGAGCTCACGTATTGTTTCCTGACTGGTCAGTATAACCCAGGACACAATGCAGAAGACACACACATGCATGGGTTAAACCTGCAATATTAGAGGAAATACAGAACACACATATTCCCTAAATTTATATCTGTTCTCCCTGTATTTTCAGTCGATGTGGTAGCACTTTGAACTGTTGTCCTCAAATGCCTCCAATTCTCCTTAGTGAGGACTCCTGTGAAGTCGACAGGACTTGCCTCAGAAGTAAAAAAAAAACATTGATCTCAATTATCTAAATTTATTTTCAAACAATATTTAATATGGATTTCATTGCATTGTAAAATACTTGAAATATAATTATTTTTCCCCCACACAATTTAAAAATCCTCTTGGATGAGCTAGAAAAGATATTGCCGATTGTCTATAAAATGAGCTCAACTTTAAAATCTTCAGCAGTCATGCAGTATGCACACCATAAACATTCTATATAACAGTTCAATGCAGAAGGGCAGTTTAACTGCACTATGAGTACTTCTACTTTTGATACTTGGGCACATTTTGCTGATTTTACTTGCATACATGAACTCTCGTACAGTTTTTCAAAAAGAAGACCAGATTCAATAACTAGTCCTGTGTGCTCTTTTGCAGGATACAGTACTCAGTCTCAGCCACAGTTGGAGATGTGTTATGAAGGGAATGTGATAGAAGATGCTCAGCAGCAGGGTCCAAATGCAACGCACCTCCAGCCCATCTCCACTGCCATCATACTTTATGGAGGTACTGTCCTGGACAATGTCAGAGACTGTCCCCAGGCAGTCTGCCTTCTGTTTGGGTTTATTTATGCCCTTCACATGGACTGCCCAAAACAGGGTAAAACATGGAATGTTCAAATGTAACACTTGGATAGTGTTTGCAAGATGATGAGTGATTTGTTGATTGACAGTTGACAGAGTTTGTAAGACAGTGAAGTATTTTACTTTTATTTTTATCACTGCTGTGCACTTTACAATGTAAAAGCATGTTGATTATAGTTCCAGGTAGACAGAAAGAGAGTTAGTCAGAAAAGAGGGAAGTGGGTAGGTAGAAGGAAGGTAAAGAGGTGGGTAGGGAGGAAGGAAGGTCAAGAGGTAGAAAGGAAGGTAGAGAGGTAGGGAACAAGGAAGGAAGGTAAAGGGATAGGTAGGGAGAAAGAAAGGTCAAGAGGTAGGAAGGAAGGAAGGTAAGGGGATAGGTAAGAAGTAGGGGAGGTCAAGAGGCTGGAAGGGAGAAAGGAAAGTCAAGAGGTAGGTAGGGAGGAAGGAAGGTCAAGAGGTAGAAAGGAAGGTAGAGAGGTAGGGAACAAGGAAGGAAGGTAAAGGGATAGGTAGGGAGAAAGAAAGGTCAAGAGGTAGGAAGGAAGAAAGGTAAGGGGATAGGTAGGAAGTAGGGGAGGTCAAGAGGTTGGAAGGGAGAAAGGAAAGTCAAGAGGTAGGTAGGGAGGAAGGAAGGTCAAGAGGTAGAAAGGAAGGTAGAGAGGTAGGAAACGAGGAAGGAAGGTAAAGGGATAGGTAGGGAGAAAGAAAGGTCAAGAGGTAGGAAGGAAGGAAGGTAAGGGGATAGGTAGGAAGTAGGGGAGGTCAAGAGGTTGGAAGGGAGAAAGGAAAGTCAAGAGGTAGGTAGGGAGGAAGGAAGATCAAGAGGTAGTTAGGTGTGGAAGCAGAGAGGGAGAAATGTAGAAAGGTAGGGATGGAGGGAGGAAGGGAGGTATGTAGGTGAGAAATGTGAGAAGGCAGGGAAAGAGCTAGGTAGGTGCAGAGGCAGCGAGGGAGGAAGTTATGTAGGATGGTAGGGATGGAGGGAGGAAGGAAGGTTAGAAGGTAGGTGTGAAGGGAAGGATGTATTTACTAAAGGGACAGTTTTTTTCTTCATTTTTGTGCATTTTCTTTCCACAAAAGTGGAACATGTTTTCAGAGCCATAAATGCATTGTTGAGCATTTAAAATAAATTTTAACTGCATAAAGTTAATCTTTCAAGTGTTCTTCATTTATTGTATTTTCGGGGCTCATTACAGTTAGATAATGTGTTTTTATTAAATTAGCATGTGTCTTAATTTGTATTGTAAATTCTTGTAGTTCAAGAAAATTGAGATAAGATATTCCTTTATTAGTCCCACAGGGGGAAATTCCAGAAAGTTAAATGAAGTTAAATTGGCCTGAATATGATGGATGAGTAAAACTCAAGAGAATTAAGCCTTCACAATCCATGAATATTAAGTTAAATTTAATTGAGTGAGTGAAGCGGGAGAGAAGCCGCTTCCCCATGGATAACTGAGGAGACGTGACAGTGGAGCAACTTGAACTTGTGAGTTATGGTCTAACTAGTCTCCGTCCACTTATTCAACATGCTTTAACAAGGGTAAAATTTCAGAAAATGCTCTATTTTACTCAATGTGTCAGTTTCTATTTTTGCTAGACGTTGGAGCACGGCGCATCCATTCAGCACAGAGTAGATCATGCAGGACAGAAAATCGCGTTCAAAATACAAAATAAAACACTGGGTTAATTTTCTAAATAAAATGCACTGTGTTTAAAGTGGATCATATTTCCCTCATTACAGGTCTGAAGTACAGGTCTAGGTTTAGATATAAAGTTAATTGTGGCTACTACTGTGTGAGCTAACAAAAAAATAAATAAAAGATAATAATTTTATATATATATATATATATATATATATATATATATATATATATATATATATATATAAATAACTATAACCTTTTTGTACAATAATGACTTATTGGGTCTAAAATAAAATTTATATATGATAATAATAATAATAATAAAAATCTAGTAATTTCAGCAATATGGGAATATAAGATGTTGTTTATCTGTGTTTGATATATTACCATCTTGATTTATGTCATGTTGATAATTTGTTGACAAAAGAAAAAAGAAATGGCAATTGCATATTACTTTCACCTACACAGGACACACAGCTAAGTAGTTAGCTTTCTATTAGTACTTTGTTTTTTTAAGTTTACATTAATTTCCATATTGTGTAAAGGAGCCCCTGCCCCTCTATAGGCATGTGGACGCCCCTGCTTGGTGCACCCCGTTAGTAGATCAGCTTTGAGCGCTATTAAGTTTGCATGTGTTTTTGTGCACGCAAACCCTTAGTAGATCAGACCCAAAGAGTTTTCAGTGTGCAGACTCACCGTGCCAAATATAAACTTTCTCATCATGCGGAGGATGAGGTAGGCCCAGAAGATGTGCAGACAAAGGAGGACCACCAGCATCACATTGAAGAAGTAGTAGCCGAAGAAAGCGGGGTAGTGTTGAATGGGGTAGACCCAGGTACAGTGGATCAGCCTAAATCAAAACAGCAGGTAAGACATTGAAATACTCTTCACTGAGTTTTGATGAGACTAAAGAAACATGCATGTGAGCAGATAGGGATGAGTGGGAGAGCTGCTGACCAAGCAATGACAAGAAAGCCTCAAGAACTCTCTGAAGATCAAATATGCATGAATGTTGACTGATGACAAATTGACTGATAAAAGAGGCTTCAAATACAGTATTATGGCATTTTTGCTGTTTATTTAAAAAAAAAAAACTAAAGCTTATAATCCAAACCTGACAAAAAATACTGAAGAACTCAGAAAATCCAAGTTGGGGCTAACTCAGGCATTTACACACATTCTCTCCAGACACACACCTGATTTAGGAACTCACCAAAATGGGAAGATTATAAGTCGTGTCACTATGAACACCACAGCAAAAACAACAAAAAGAGCCAGGCTGGTTTTCTCCCATTGGGCATAGTTGAGTAATTTTGCTGACTGAAGAAAAAAAAAGGGCTTTTAGTTATTCATTCACAGACAAAACAGCCACGTACTGTATTTTTTAACTGATCACAGGACTGTGGGATTATACAGGCCCAACAGTCAGTCTCTGAGGGACCAGGCTGTTTTCTGTGTGTTGGTGACTGACCTCCAGTAAAACATCAGACGCATCATGAACCAGCATGACCAGAGTCCCGATGCGGATGTAGTTCACACACCAGGAAAAGGATAAGAGGATCAGCGTAGCCAGGTGGTGGATGATTTGTTCCTTAAAGTCCTGCACAAGAAAATACACTCACATCAGTTATTATCATTTCTAGACCACCAGGGCCAAGATTAGTACATAATTAGGAGGGTACACACACATCTGTCAAAGTAAATCCTCTTCTGATCACAGATATCATGTCATTTGAGAGAAAATTTGCCTCTGTAGTAGACAGATTATGCTTTGTTTTCACAATATTGTCACGATAGCTTTAGTTGATGGTTTATTTTTGTGGGGGGGTCAGGTCAGGGTTCGTTGTCAAATCAGACATACAGACACACTCACCTTTCTCTTCACGTCAAAGGCAAAGCTGAAGAGCAGAGAGCCGTAGAAGCTCATCTCGAGGATATAATACCAGTACTGAGACTCCAGCATGGACTGCACACAGACAGACAGAGAGCGAGAGCGGTTTGTAACATGACACTGCAGAAAATCTCAGGTTCACCTCTCTAGACTGAGCTCTTTGTCCTGATCTCTTTATCTGAGAAGGATCTGCAGCGTCCGTTGTTCACCTGAAGACGTCATCTCCCTTTCAGCTACATTTTTCAAACAAAGTGTGGGTTGGTAATGAAGCTATGGGATCATGCATAACTCCCCCCAATACATTTAGCAAAATGTAACATGCAGAGGAAATATGAAAAAGTATCGGCACAGTTTTTCAACTAAAAATTAAAAATACTAAACAGCTTAATATTTTAATCTTTAAAAATATCCAGCCAAAGGTAAAACAACTTTCACAGAATATTAGTTTCTATGTTAACAGCACCTCAACCTTTCTAAAACTCTATATTTCTATAAAAATACATCTCTCAGTGTTATTATTTAAAATATGTAAAAGTATATTAAAGTCAAAGGAAAATATTTTGAAACCATAAAGTAAAGCAATAAACTGCAGTACAAATGTAAACTGATAATACTATCATACGTGTCAAAACTTACAGGTCAGTCACATCTTTCTAGTCCATAGCACAATCATCTACACAGCTATGGCTTGATTTAGTTTGGTTATAGATTACATACAGTGAAGCCCAAAATTATTCATACCCCTGGCAAATTTTGACTTAAAGTTACTTTTATTCAAACCAGCAAGTTTTTTATTATCTTCTGGAAATGACACAGGCGTCTCCCAGAAGATAATAAGATGATGTACAAGAGGCATTGTTGTGGAAAGAAATATTTCAAAGCTTTTATTTACATTTGAACAAAAAGTGGCATCGCAACTCCTGTGGTGGTCATCCAAGGACCTGAAGTTCTTTGTACATTCCCTTTTACTTCATATTTCCACACCAAAGGTTGCCGCTTGGTTTACTTTCCCAGGACTAAGGTTGCCTTAATGTTAATCTGAGCTGAGATCTGAGCTAAGCCATAGTTACTCCTTGATGTTTGTCATTTACATCCATTTGGGATGGCAGGATGAACTGGTTAGTATTTAGATCATTTGTTAAAGAAGGCATAATGAAGACAAAGAACGCACCAATGTGTGCAACAATAGGTTAGTTTATCAAAGGAATTTTAAAGACTGATGTTGAGGCTGTAAGGAGCCAGTCTGAGCCCAAAACACGAATTTTCTAGTCCAGCTCTGGGTAGGCCTCAACTTCATCTCTCTGTAAGTTTCTAAATTAGCCGGATGTAAGTTGGAGCAAGCATTTCTCATATGCTAGCCTCAATCTTTGGGTTTCAAATTGCCTCAGGAGTCAGAGGATGGCATCACAGAGACTATAGCCATAGTTTATCCAGTCTGAGCTTTGATCTTAAAAGTAAATGTAATCAATATAAGAAAAAGGCAAATAGAACCACAAGTCTAGAAAAATCCCTGTAAAAACTGTCTTATAAATGACAAATTTCCATGCAAAAGTGAACTGTGGTGTAGAGGAGAGCAGACTTACAGTACCTGCTTTGGAAAACCAGTCCACACCTCCCTCGTGTCATAAAACCACTCTTTCTGCATAAAACAAAGGAAAACTTTTTCATCTGAATTTTTTTAAGGAAAAATGTTTCATAAAAAAAAAGCAAAAAAGAGACACAAAGCTGCAAAGGATTTTGAGCTGACACCACGACTGTGTGAAACTGTTTTTAGCTCAGTCTGACCGTTCACATACACAACTCACATCATACAGAGCTATGAGTCCACCGATGAACGCCAGCAGGTAGAAGACAAACCTCCAACTGTGAAGAGCAGCATGGAAACATATGACCTACAGCTGTACAACAGGTTATTAATAATAATCCATCACGCACGCACGCACACAAACAAACACACACACATACACAGCAGTGACCTGGCCTCTCTGAATTTCTTCAGGACTCCTGGACGGTCCCGAGCACGTCTCTTCCTGAACCATCGCTCAACCTGCCTCACCGACAAACTGCTCTTCTTAGACAGCCCATCAAAGTCCCCCTGTGATGAAGAGGAAACACAAACACACATACACACAATCAGAAACAAGAAAAAAAAAAAAAACAGGAAATTAAATCAATGTCACAAACTGAAACAGATTTATATGATCAGCTTTGATAGTTTTGATCAAATCTTACACCACTAACTCTTTTGTGAATGCTTGTTAAACTTTTCATGATTCAAAGTAGTATCAGGAACACCAGGGTCACAGCTGGTGTCATTGTAAAATCACATTGTTAGACCTCTCTTGGGCAGTCAGCTTTAACAGTAACAGTAATAGTTAGTGATGAGAGGGAATGTGTTTACCTGCGCAGGATTTCTGCTCTGACAGGTGTAGTAAAGCTCCAGGACAGGGACATGCTCTACCTTCAGGTGGGCTCTCTGTTTGATTCCAACAGACAGAGCAAAAGGTGTAGCTATCCACCTAAAACACAGACAGACAGACAGACAGACAGACAGACAGACAGACAGATAGACAGACAGACAGACAGACTTTACCTCTGTCCAGCCTTGTAATAGTTCTTTCATTGTACTGACTTTAGTTGTCCCTCGGTAATATGGTTAAGGTGGTACCAGGTATCCAATCCAATCCAATCCATTTTATTTTATATAGCAAGATTTAAACAAACACAAGGTTTCCAAAGTGCTGCACAGCAAGATAAAGGTATGGTGGCTCAAATGGAGAATCAAGCTGATCATCCATCAGATGTGCCTCTTATCCTTGAAGGCCACTGTGATTTCACTGATGGGAGGGGTGAACAAAGAAGCTTTTCAGTCTATACTGATGACTACTAGATATTACTGTATTTCCTCATTTTCCCATACAGTAACTTTAAGGTGGCTAATATCAACTAAACTGTAATGGTTCACACTTCACCATTACTACTACTCAAAGTTTATCTTATGTGCTATTATCCTGCATTCATCTCTTGCGGTCACAGTGTCTGCTGTTCAACAAAAATCTATTAAAAAGAGAGTGACTTTCATCAAATATTGGACATGTAAACACATTATGCCTCCAGCTTTGAGTTAATGTTGACTTTTTATCTAACCAAGACCACCCTCTCTCCCTTCCAAAACCTCATTCTTTTGAATTTTATGACAGATTTTTGAAATGATGGTTTACTGAAGCAGGTTATTAGACTATATAAAGACAGAGCCTGCCGAGGAGTGTGTGGGGTGAAAGATTGGTTAACACACTCCCACAGGACTGATTCCTGTGTTGTATGATAAGTCAGGTTATGTGATAAGACTTGCCACCAAAACTTTTGTTTTGATCTGCATTTACTGCATAACTTTGTGGACCTTAATCTGGATAGTTATTTCTGTTCTACAAATACTCATCTTTCATATCTTAAAAGTAAATACTGAGTTCAAATAAGCAAAGACTTCCTGTTCTGTTCTTTATTATTGATATTACATGATATGATATGATAGGATATGACTTTATTGTTAGATAGAGTCTGAAATTTGGCTTGTTTCACAGCAGCTCCATTAACCCTGACACATAGACTGTATATACTATGGACGACTTGGTTCCACCTTCCGCCAGTATACGGATTTGAAGCCAAAAAGCTCTCGGTATTTCCGCGATTTTCCTCCATTTTGTGCAACCAACATTGCGCAGTAGCATTGTACGCATTCAGCAGGAGAGTCGCCTAGAGTCACTGTAATGACTCGGCTCAAACAGCGAACCCCCCGGGTGAGCTACGCAATCTTTGTATACCCATAGGCTGTTTCAAGTGTCAATCACAGAAAACATGAACCCCCTAATAACTTTTAAAAAAGGAGCTGTACAGAAAAAAGAGGACTTGAGCACAAACCAGTCCAACAGTAACTACATGCCAACATCGCAAACGGGGGAGAAAAATGTATATTCTGTTTAATTGATTTCTAAAGTTTGTCCACAGCTTCATAAGCTTTGCTGCAGGAGACGAGATTTATGACCTACACTGCAGCCTGTCACCAGAGTGTGCTGTTCTCACGAGAAGGCAGAAGGCGTCCATTCTATATACAGTCTATGCACTGACATTTCAAACACAAATCTTAAACAACTAACAGCCTTCAGCTTTTCTTTGATCTGGGATTCAACTCCAAATTTAATTTTAGAAATGACTGGTGGACAAAGGAGTGCGTCGGTCTGACCCTATCAGAACAAGGGACCTGGTATCTCAAGTTTGATGGTAACAATTCATATTCTTTGTTTAGAGCACGTTAGGGACCATAACAATATTGTTAGCCAACCTCATCACGCTTTTGTTGTAGGCTGATTCATGGAGACCCTGCAGTGGCTGAGATTAAGCCTGAAAAAGGTCATGATTTTCCTCTGTCTCGGCAAAAGCAGGTCCTGCAGCATGTTAAAAGTCTGATTATTTGATGCTTACCCTGTCAAGGTGATTGCAGACATAAAAAAACACTTATAAAGAAATAACTGATCGTGAGGCTGCCAGTCATGTTTGCCAATAGGTGGGGGCATGTTTTTCTTTTGTGAGACAGGACTGTGAGAGACAAGAGAAAGAGACAGGACATGTGGAGTAAAGAGGTGGGGAAGACCTGCAGCAAAGTGTCGAGGCCAAGAGTGGCTGCTTGACATATTACATATTATCAAGGCTAGTATCTCATACTACACTCAGGCTGGCTAACAAGAACATACCCACACTTGTCACACTTGTAATATACAGTTAAGTGTTTGATGGTGTGTGCACAGAGTGCGGACTTTACCTCTCAAACACGTATCTGATGAGTAGGCAGACAAAAGCATATGGCACAATGACATAGAGGTGTGAAGCTTTGGCGTAGACTCGGCCCTCACTGTCCTCCAGGTCAGTCCACGTCAGGTTCACAGGCAGCCAGATCCTGTCCCACCAGAACCAGTCATACAGCACACTGAACATCGCTGCTCATCAACAGAGAATTCAGGTCCTGAGGACAAAACCAGGGGAATCTATTTCAAAAACTGTATATTCAAGAGATGAACCTCATACCTTCTTTAAGAATAGGCCTGAAACTTTTCTTTTTGATAAAGCTTATAGTCATAAAGTCAAAGCTTATCATTATAATGATCAAGGCAGAAGAGCTACTGCATCTGCAGTTCAAAATGATTAATATGGTGATTATTGCTTCAAGGAAATAATAAAGAAATGATCATAAATGTTCTTTCTTGAGCTGGGTCACCACGTAGCACTCCGTAATGGATTGGCCCGAGGTGAGACTGCCAGGGGTACAGGCACACTGGACACCTTTCACACCTTCTCCATCCTTTCTCACAAACTCAGAAATTGTCTCCATCTTCCTCTCCCCTTTCTAAACCCAGCTCAGTCTCAGAAGATGACTGTCTAACATCAGTCTGGTTCTGCTCCAGGTTTCTGCCTGTTAAAGGAAGTAACATTGCTCCACTGTAACTTGATAAATGCTGTACAGTGTTTCACTTATGTGGTTAAAGATGGAATTGTAGTGGGTCTGATCTTACAGCATGGTGTTCAATCTGATCCCATCTTTAAATTGGGTCTCTCTAAATAAAGTCTGATCTGGACCAGTGTTTTTGTTTTGTGCCTTGGGATGACAAATGTCATGAATTGACGCTAAAAAAATAAAGTATTAAAGTCAACGAAAGACAAGCCCAAGAAGTTGTGAAACACTGACAAAGCATTTAATTGTTTTTTTTATATATATTTTATCAACTACCTGCATCACCCTGATCTGAACACCTGCATGTGCAGAAAGTAAAACTTGAGGTGTGTATCCTGTGCAGAGTTTTAATACGGACTTGTTTGTATTGTGTGTTTTTCCCCTGTCAGGCTCTGTGACTGTCTCCTTTTAATATACAGTTTCATTTAAAAACAGGATGTGACAAATTCTGACTATCCTGACACACTACAGCAGGTAAACGAGGTTTTATTTTCTATGACAGGGAAAAAAAGAGAAAAAAGGCTCCAAACATGGAGGCAAGCTGATGCTACAGTTACTGCAGTGTACACACAGATCTGTTTCCTAAACAAATATTGACCTAGAGTCCTGCCCTGTTTGAGCCCATAGGCACGCCCATTACAACCACTTTCACACAGAGCCTGTGACTATATGTGAGTGTGTGTGTGCGTGTGTGTGTGTGTGTGTGAGCTAACCAATGGCATACAATCAGTTAACATCACCTACTGGAGAGCATAGGAAAGACAATCAAAAAGACCAGATAAAATATCTAAAAGCACACAACAATGTGTTTCTATGTCCCTGGTGTATTTCAGTATGTTTTTGTAATCAAAAATAACATTTATTCCTATTAAAATAAAATTTTCTTCCAATATCCACTTGTTTTTCGGCATTGAATTCATTCAAGTGTTTTTTTTTTTAACCGGAGAGTGTCTCTTGAGGCCAATTATGTTGGAGCAGATGAAAACTCGTGCTCAAAATAATAAGTAAAAGGCTGCCGGACCTTGGGATATCTCCTAGTGTTGCCCTGCAAAGTAAATCTAAAATGCTTAAATTTAAGGTGTGCCATCACCTCCTCTACCCATCATATATGAGATGGCAGTGTTGCCTTTATCCAGATGAATAGGATCAGTCTCCTGGCTAGCGCTGAAGAGAATGCTATTGCTCTTCTTTGAGCAATTGTTAGTTGTGTTTCCTTTGGTGCCACACCAAATATTTCTGTCAGAGGACTGGACTCTTTATCCTTGTTATAAATGGATGAGAAAGTTCTAAAAATTTTGGTCAAGAACTCTTTAGGCCTGGGCAAGACCAGAACATGTGACATATGTTGGCTGGCACTTGTTTACATCCAGGGTAAGTTGGGTGAGCCTCCTGATAGATTCTTGCCAGTTTGATAAGTGAAGTCTGTGTTGTACCTTCAACTGTATCAATTCGTGACTAGCACATACAGAAGAATCAAAATCTAATCAAACTTTATTTATAAAGTGCTTTTCATACAAAAGGATATAACACAAAGTGTTTTACAGTCAGTTTAAAAACCAAAAACAATTCCAGATGCCAGATATATGTCCAGTAGCCCATCGATCCATCCACTTTGTGATTACTCGAGGGATGGGGAAAATGTCTTTTTCACAAAATCTCGAACCTGAAAGTATCTTAAGTAGTTTGTCTTTGAAGGGATTCCATACTCTGTCTCCAACTGAGCAGCAGATATGAATACATCATCTTTAAAAAGATTATGGACAATTTCCACCCCAGCTCTATACCATTCCCTAAACGCTGTTTCCGGAGCGCTGGGGAAAATAGATGTTTGCCATAGAGAAGAGCAGATGGGAGGGCGTTTCTATTTTTGAAATGTTTTCTGAATTGGATCCAGATCTTGATAGAGCGACGTATTACAGGGTTGTTTGTGTGGAGGTGTTTGCTTAAGGGCAGATGAGCGCAGACGAAGGACTGTAGGGACACTGGGCTAGATGCATATCTTTCCCTTTGTACCCACACAGGAGTTTCGTTATCATCTAAATTTGAGATCCAAAACAACAGCTTATGTATATTAGCAGCCAAGTAGTAGTGCGTATAATTTGGTAGGGACAGGCCTCCCTCTTCTCTCTGTCTCTTGAGGAACTCTCTTCTTATCTGGGGGACTTTCTTTTTCCAGATAAAGGTAGATGTACATTTATTCAATTCTTTAAAAAATAATTTAGGTATGAACATTGGTATTGTCCAGAACAAATGGAGGAACTGTGGCATTATATTAATTTCAACAGAATTGATCTTCCCTACTAATGATGGGGAAGCGATGTCCACCTTTTGATACCAAATCTACCTTATCCAGTTTTCCTGTAAAGTTATGATGAAATAAATCTTTATATTTACTTGTTACATTAAAACCTAAATAAGTTAATTTTACCTTTTTGTGTTATGAAAGGATAGGCCTGGGATGATAGTCTTCTCGCCTGCTCATTGACTGGGAAAAGAACATTTTTCTCCAGGTTAATTTTATAACCTGAAACTCTGCCAAAGTCTTCATTAATACCAAGCACCACCGGCATGTCATGTGCCCAGGGATGACGCATAACGTAATAACTTTAGCAGAAACATTAGTGTGACCTGACCTGGCATTTTATCTTAACTGGTTTTTGTTAAGTGTTTTGATGCCCTCTTAATCTGGAACCAGCTCTTTTGCTTGTTAGTGTGACAAGTCTGAGAGCCTCGGAGGTTTTGTTTAAACTGAATAATTCCTTTTAATAAAATTCCCGAAGTGGGGTTGCTCATCTCCGTTTAGTTGAAGTGGTTGTGCCTCCATCAAATATGAATTTACCCAAACAATGGCTTGTGCCACAGTGGCAAAAGTTGTGAGTTGAAAGCTCTATAGGTGAGACTTTCAACCACGAGCATTGTTTTGCATGATTCATATGGCTTGAAAGGTGATCCATTCACTCTGGAAAGATCTACACTCAGGGCTCTATTTTCGTGCCTCGCCGGAGACGTGCCACAGGCGCAGCATAAGTCAGGTCCGCCGCGGCCGACAAGGCGTTCCCAAGCACAATTTAGTATTTTGGTGAGCGGCGCAGCCCGGCGTAGGTATCCCCCCTCCCTAACTCAGCTCCTCCCAGAGGCGTAAGTCGTAGCAAGGGAGGAGAGAGGGCGTGGAGTGGGTTTAACACAGCCAAGACCTGTTTTCACCAATCACATAAGCTCCTCTCCTTGCCTTTAAATCTGCCACCGGCGAGGCGTTTTACTATTTTCGTGAAGTAGTCAAAGAGATCAAGAAGAAACACAAGCTTCTTTCTAATATCTCTTTACTTGGTATTTCGGGGACGTGTGAGGATAATATTCAGGTGAGGGGCTGAAAAGGCTGAAGGTGAAGTGGTAAATTCTAGAACTTGTCCTATGCTTTGGCCCATGCTTGAAGCCTTTTGTGACAAAATAAAAACATGTGAACCCTGGTCTTTTTAACACTACTTTTTGCCGCTGATGTTATTCATTGATTCATTAAAACGTAATGGTTTTGAGCCATCTAAAATAGCGAAAGCAGGCGTCTCGCGTTTACTGCTCTGGCTCCATCCGTTGACAAGACGGGGCGTCAGTTTTTTTCAGCGCGACATTAGCGTGAGAGAAGACAACAGGGAAGAGTGTGTCACGAAAGGCTTGCCGTGTGTTTAGACCAAAAGCTACTAAAGCTGTTGTGTAAATCACTATGTTGCTATTATTTTTATATGGCTGTCAAGAAACTGGGAGTGCTCAGCAGGCAAAGAGGCAGGCTGCTGAAAGTGAGAAGCAGGCAAGGCTGAGGCATGTGGCCACTCAGCGTAAAAGACCATGGAGACTCTGGCGGCCCAGGCAAAAAGAAAAAAGAAAAAGTGATCAAATGGACTTGGTATTGGATCTATTGGAATTGCATGTATTGTTCTCCAGTCTGGCAGGGCATACACTGATCTAAAGTGCAGGATGTAAAGTCTTTTTTTTTTAATTCTGTTTTTTTTTTTCTCTTTAAATTATTATTGTTCATATGGCCTTGTACAAACAGTTTTGAACACCTCTCTGACTCATCTAACTCATTTAGCTTCTGTGAAAGTACACTTTGTTTCTAAATAAAACATGGCCAGCACAAGATGCATGTGATGTGGTGTGTGTGTGTGTGTGTGTGTGTGTGTGTGTGTGTGTGTGTGTGTGTGTGTGTGTGTGTGTGTGTGTGTGTGTGTGTGTGTGTGAGACTTGGAGTGTTTTTGGCACCTCCTGCAGATCACTGAAACGCAATGTGGGTGGACAGAGCTCAATATTTTGTTGGGTTGTACAGTGTACTGGAATGTATTTCCTCCGCACCCTTCTCACCTTTTCAACCCCTGACCCATTTTCATGCCTGTGCTCAACAAGTGTCACTGTAAGCACTGCAGAGGGCGTCCTTCACACTCTCTCAAATGAGCACAGATGGATTTGGTGTGTGTAATGTTGGACCCACTGGTAAGACAAACACCCTTTCCACAAATAAAGACACTCACATAAAGTTGCACATATTCAAACCTCACGTGACAAAGGTGGGTTGTGCGCACAGATCACAACATAAATTCCAAAAATGGCATTAAAATCGGAACCATCTGTGCGTAAATGACGCATCGCGCTCCGTGGCCTGGCTCTTTCTTACATAGATGTTGGCATATAAAATAAATTTGCCTCACAAAACTGAATATTATAATATTCGTGTGTAGGCTTAAAGTAAATAACTCATCTGATCACTGAAACAAATCATCTGTTCAGCAGCCGCAGCTGCAGCAGGACAGAGAGAGGACACGGAGACATGTCCAGGTCGAGCTTCGCGAGAAATAAGAGGAAGAGGAGGAAAGAAAATGAGGAAGACAAATTAAATATCTTGTTAACTTCATCATGTGTGTTTATTTACTAGATATTTAATTCAATTTAATGCGGTTTCAGCTGTGTTGATTCGGTCAGGTTTTGGTCACGCCCAAACGCGTGCCAAACACGCTCATCAGATCAGATATAGATCAGAATATATATCTATATAGATCTAAATGTGTGTGCTGACTCAGATTATTAGTTGTTGTTGATTATTTATTGCACTGAAATGTGCCTGACACTGTGGAAACCTGCCGGTGAGGCATCAGTGACGTATGCCGATACGCCGCCGGTCTACAAAATACCACTAGACCAGCTGCACTCCGCCTGCACTGAAAGCTGACCAGGTTTGAATCTACGAGCTTTCAGCACACTTTACACGCCACTGGCGAGCACGAAAATGTCACTGCGCCTGCTGATTCTGTTGACACCTCCCCCTGCCATGCCACCACGCCCAGCATTGCGGATCTTGGTTCGCCTCCGTGCACCTCAGTCCACGAAAATACCAAACCGGCTGTACGCCGGGCTCCGCCAGACGGAAATACAACTGCGCCGGGTCTGCCCTCAGAAAATAGAGTCCTCAGTGTCCAGCTCAGATTCACTCTGAATCTTTTACGAGTTTTCACAAATTAAAGAAACAGCAACAACAACAAAAACTTCAGTCTCAGAGCTTCTGTTTGAAGTTTACTCTATTTAGCTGTATTTAAATTTACTGTATTTGTGTTATCATCAAACTGAGAGGCTGCTGCTGGAACTGTGTACTTTAGAATGGTGAGACCGTCCCACTCAGCTGGGTGGGTAGGTTTGTCTTATTACACACATACACTTGGAGCTTTTCCACTGAGGAATAATACGCCTGACAAAGCAGCTTCAACCTGATAACAAACACACAACTATCTTGACTTCTTGGCTTGATTACAACACAAACAGTGAGCTGTTTTGGGCACTTTAAGTTAGAAAGTGGGCAAAGAAAAGGATTCAAGTTGAATATTTGCCTTCAAAATCAGGGCAAAGAAGTCTCATTGAGTGTAAATATAAATAAAGTTTATTAAAACTTCCTAATCATCTCTAAAGTTGTTTTTTTACAACCTCAGGCTTCACAATACAGCTCTTGACATGTCCCTTAGCAGGTGTTTGTTTAGTGCTTGACGTAACATTAAAGATTTGCTTTCAGTCTAAGTACTTAATGTTCCACTTTTTCTTGGTTGCCAGCCCCACAGAGATGACCAGCAGTCAAACAGGTGCCTTAGAGTGTCACAGAGATTAAAAAACATCCTCAATCTTAACAGATAAACTTAAAGATGAATTTAAAGAGTGTCCTCTGATCTCAGTATCTTGGTTTTGATCTGTGGGCACACACAGACTCTTTTCATCGTAACTGAGCCATGACAGAGCGAGCTGAGAGAAAACTTCACAAACAGCAGACCAAATTTCAAACTCCAGCTCTAGAGTCATTCACGCCTGGACAGAAAGAAGAAAACTCCACTCACGTTTAAACTGGGATTGTTCTAGCACAGTACAAGGTCACCGAAAACAAAGACTCAACTTTACCTGTCAGAGCTGTCAGACGGAGCAGGAAGAGGCAGCGTCCTCTGCAGCTCTCTGCTCTGTTTGCTGTGAGGAATCAACACGGATGATAAAATCCTCTACTACACCACAAAGAGCAGCCAGCCGCTCACTCTGTATTTGACATTCTTTGTGTCACACCCAGCACAGGTACAATTACCTGAGAAGGTTTTTTTTTCTACCCTCCAGGAAGTAGAGGTCGGTTAACGGATTGCCACAACACATTCACTCAGACACACACACACACACACACACACACACACACACACACACACACACACACACACACACACACACACAAGCTCTGCCCTGCAGGGATCTAATAACCTTGTTTGTATTGTGTAGCTGAAAAGTACAAAATCAGGTTCTCCCACAAATGAAACCCTCCAGGGGGCAAAGAGTCAACAAAGAAACTCAGTCAATATGAAGACTTTCACTATAAAATGTTTTCTAATTCATGTTGTAGATCTAAATGATTTAAGAGCTGACAGCATTAGATTACAGATTTATGACACTATATCACTGTCACCTGCTTTCAGCTCTCAAAGATGGGTCTTTAAACAGACCCTGTTCAAACTTCGACCATTTCAACTCTTAAAAAAAAAAAAAATACCAGGAAAGTTTTCAAATGTGTCACTGTCACGACCTTAGATCCAAGGATAAACAGATTTTAACTTGGCAATCAAAGGCTGAAAGTCACTGTGACTTCTTTCAAACAATTTGGTCCATTACTCAACAATTTATGCTGTGATTATTACAGTGTCCTACAGATGCCTGGAGCACAGCGTGTTTGAAACATGGACATATTCTTTGTGATGTCAACTGTTGGTTCCTCAAGAGGTGAAATGGAGCCTAGCCACCACCGAACTGAAACTTCCTGTCTTGAGAAATTAAGTGAAAAAAGAGGTGTATTAGGTGACCCCTTATGGCCCCTGATAAACAGCTGTTCAAAAAGTCTTATCTTCAGAGAAAAAAAAAACTCTACAGTTGAAACCAGAAGTTTACATACACTATATAAAAAGGCACATAACTTTTTTTTCCTCACCATCTAACATTAAATCAAAATAAAATGTTCCTGTTTTTGGTCATTTAGGATTACCAACATTTTTTTTAATTTGCTGAATGCCAAAATAATGAGCGAGGGAATTTTTAGACATTTTTTAAATTATTTTCTCGAGAGTCAAAAGTTGTCATACACTAAGGTGACTATGCCTTTAAACAATTTGGGAAAGTCCAGATGATTACATCATGTCTTTGGAAGCCTCTGATAAGTTTATTGACAACATTTGAGTTAATTAGAGACACACCTGTGGATGTATTTTAATGCACACCTGAAACACACTGCTTCTTTGTGTAACATCATGGAAAAAATCAAAAGAAATCAGACAAGATATCAGGAAGAGAATTGTAGACCTACACAAGTCTGGTTCATCCTTGGGTGCAATTTCCAGATGCCTGAAGGTTCCACCTTCATCCGTTCAAACAATTATATGCAAGTATAAACACATGGGAATGTCCAGACATCATACCAGTCAGGGAGGAGACAGGTTCTGTGCCCCAGAGATGAACGTGCTTTGGTCTGAAATGTGAATATCAACCCAAGAACAACAGCAAAAGCCCTTGTGAAGATGCTGGCTGAAGCTGGTAAGGGTGTGTCATTATCAACAGTGAAAGGAGTCCTGTACCAACGTGGGCTAAAAGGCCACTCTTCCAAGAAGAAGCCTTTACTCCAAAAGAAACCTAAAAAGACAGATTAAAGTTTGCAAATACACACAGGGATAAAGACCTTAATCTTTGGAGACATGTCCTGTGGTCTGAAACTGAAATGGAACTTTTTGGTCATAATGACCATTGTTACATTTGGAGGAAAAAAGGGGAAGCTTGCAAGCCTGAAAACACCATCCCAACTGTGAAATATGGGGTTGACAGCATCATGTTGTGAGGTTGTTTTGCTGCAGGAGGGACTGGTATACTTCACAAAATAGATGGCATCATGAGGAAAGAACATTATGTGGAAATACTGAAGCAACATCTCAAGACATCAGCCAGGAGGTTGAAGCTTGGGAGCAAATGGGTTTTCCAAATGGACAGTGACCCTAAGCAAACTGCCAAACTGGTTACAAAGTGGCAAAAGGATATCAAAGTCAGTGTTTTGAATTGGCCATCACAAAGCCCTGATCTCAATCATTTTGAAAATTTATGGGCAGAACTGAAAAGTCATGTGCAAGCAAGGCGGCCTACAAACTCGGCTCAGTTACACCAGTTCTGTCAGGAGAAATGGGCCAAAATTCCTGCAAACTATTGTAAGATGCTTGTGGAAGCATATCCAAAACATTTGACCCAAGTCATGCAATTTAAAGGCAGCTACCAAATACTAATGAAATATATGTAATCTTTTGACTCTCAAGAATAAAATAAAAAATCGTCTAAAAAATTCTCTCTTTCATTATTCTGGCATTTAGCATATATAAATAATTTTGGTAATCCTAATTGACCAAAAACAGGAACTCCACACCTTCTCTCCTCCCTTTGTATGACTTACGCCGCTGGGAGGAGCTGAGTAAGGGAGGGGGGATACTTACGCCGGGCTGCGCTGCTCACCAAAATACCAAAATGTGCTTGGGAACGCCTTGTCAGCACGACAGACCTGATTTATGCCACGCCTGCGCCACGCCACTGGCAAGGCAAAAAAATAGAGCCTTCCCTCTTTGATAAAACTGATAGTTAGACCTGGTTCAGGTATGGACCAGTTATGCTGTTGTTACAGGTTTAGACTTCTGGGGTACTGGTACATTGAGCACCTTCTTCTCCTTTCAGTCTCTCCTCTGTCCGTTTCTCTCTTTCTCCATCTCCTACTCTCTCCTCTCTAAACCCAGCTCAGTCTCAGCAGATGACTGTCTAACAACAGTCTGGTTCTGCTCCAGCTTTCTGCCTGTTAAAAGAAGTTCTTCCTCTTCATTGTAACTTGATAAATGCTGTAAATTGTTTAACTTGTGTGGTTGAAGATGATATGGGAGTGGGTCTCATCTTGGAGGATGGGGTTCAATCTGATCCCATCTTTATTGAGGGTCTTTGTAAATACAGTCTGGTCTAGACCAGCTTTTTTATTTTGTGTCTCAGGATAATGTGTAGTGAATCGGTGCTTTATAAATAAAGATTGATTGATGACTTGATTAAGATAGGTGACACATCTCCATGCCTTTAGGTGAATCCAAAATTCAACCTTCACTACAGGGTCTGGATCACACACTCACAGCTATGAAAAGTTCAGTGACTCCTGTGTCAGTGTCTGCTTTGATGAGCTGAGGACTGCTGTTTGATTGATCATTTTGAATTCACAAGTAACCAGCAGAGGGAGGTGATGCAAGTCTGAGGCAGAGAGGATGGTCTGTCCCTATACCTCACAACTACAAACACCACCACTGATGATCTCTACAACTGGAAAAGTAGTAAGCAGAGCAGTGCAAATAAGGGGTTAGAGAGAGCTTCACAGTTGCATTGAAACTGCACATTGTGGGATTAGTTGGAAGCAACATCGGTATTTAAGCCGTAAAACAGATTAAACCTCTTTGGGCTTTATGACCTATTCTTATACTTGGAAACACAGACTATATAAGGTTTTCAGCCTAAAATTTTGCTCTGATGTTAACAGAATTACTCTAATATGCTGACTTCATCCTGCAAGATTGCACAGGATGGGTATGTGAGTTTATAGTAAGATTACAGACAGCTCCCACCCTCCCTCCAAGGTTTAGGGCGGGTGTGTGTACTGACAGAGCAAACAGTGTACTGGTACTCAGTGTCAGGTTAAATCAATAGAGGCCTTTGATGACTCTGAACTAATAATTAACTGGACAGCAACATGAAAAGGCACATGTAAAGGTTGTGTTGTGTTAAAACAAACAGAGGGAGCTCTTGATAAAAATAAAAGCAAAGTTCACATAAATCTTTTTTTTGTTGTTGTTTTCTCTTTCTTTATTTATCATCTGCTCCAGATTCACTTCAACACGTATTGGATGAAAACACAGAGTTGTGTGATAAATTCACGTTTCTCTTAAGTGTTGTGGAATCACAAGCCTCTGGCTTTTTGATTTTTGAGTTAACTAACAGGCTGGTTGTGTCTATTTGTATTCACATAGCATTGACCAGTCAGGTATCAGCAGACATACAGTACATACATGGAGAGCAAAAGCAGGCAGAACACAATCCACTGTAAAGATATCATGACTCCCATCAGCTGTGATCTGACAATTATCTACTTCTATTAACAGATCTGTTCTGCCAGTGAAGCTGAACGAATAAACTAAGGTGGAGTGAAGTCTTAGCATAACTTACTTTTTACACTGACACTGGGACTCAACAGAAACAGATGAACTAGAGCTACTCTGGTGTATGAAATAAAACAGAGGTTCACAACTATACAAAGATATCTGAAAAACTAGCCATCCCTCCCAGGGGTGTAGATTTTCAACACGTGATGGTCAATGGGTGGTGTGATCTGATGATTTATGAGTTGCTGTAACACTCAGTAACAGAAACTGACTGATGAAGAAATGTGCTAATACAAGAGGGATCAGTGCTATATCTATGGACATCATTAGATACAGACTTTGACATGCCAGTCCATCTAGCCTGGTTAAAATATAGTTTATGTAGGAATATATTGCTTCACATGTGATTTTTTTTGTTTGTTTGGCAGTGTTGTTTTTTGTCTTAAAGTTTCCATTAATATTGCGATAAACTCATTTTTATGTATTTTTTGGCCACAATAATCGTGATATTGTGGTGGCTCTAACTTATATGATCCAGGCTCAGACACTTGGAAAAAACATTACCCGTTTTTGGTCTGAATAAACACATTTAGAGACATTTATAATATGTGTCATTTATTAAAATATGATTTATGATTCATTTTTCTTGGAACAATTCTCTACTTGTGCTAAAAGCCTTAAAAGTGAGGACGGGTTGTACGGAAAGAGTGTTTTTGCCTGCAGCCTGCTCACCACCTCTCTGAGCTGAGACAGACACAGGACCGCTCTATCACATGCTGACTGTCCTGACAGAGGAGGCTGGACTGGACCTGTGTGCTCTCCTTGAGAAGTCTGGGATGAAGAGCCCCCTGCTCCTCTTTTCAGTGAGTGTGAAGACTCATTATGTGTCCGTCCTCTTGGTCCACTCATCTTCTGTTTCACATCCAAGGCACCAAATCTACTTTTCTCATGAATAGATATTCCCAATTCATCCTGAGAAACTTCCATGCCTTCTGGATCTGACTCATCTGAGCTACTGTACTGTACAAGACAGGGTGTAGGTGACCCCCATTTAGAGCTCAGTTCAAACACATCACCACCACAGGGGGCAGAAGAAGACTGCTGCAGTGAAAGATGTCCGTCTGATTCACTGATCCTCCTACATTCTGCAGCAAAGCTCTGCCAGTCAGCTGTGAGGCACTTTAGGTACCGCACAAAGTACTCCAAAAAACAGGTTTCTGTGGAGATGAGGAAGTCGAGGAGGATGCTGTGGTCGAAGGAGACGTTCTGAAGCAGAAGCAGGAAGATGCAGTGAGGGTTGTTACCTGAAACACAGGCTGCCTGCAGCTCAGCGGAACCATCCGACCCACAGCGCCCCCTGCAGACAGAGACAAGCAGAAGCACAGAGATCTCCATAAACATCTAAGTCCATTTTTACAGCAAATTCAAACATGTTCTCAACAGGTCATATCTTTCCTCGTACAAGTTTAATGGGGAGTGAATTTTTTTTTTCACCCGTTATGGAGAAATTACCAGTAAGACGTGCATAGATATGCACAATTAGAGGCATGTCAGATTTGACCGACATGCAGGTGCAAAGTAGCCACCAAAAGGCTGCTTCAGCCCTGTTTCTTTTTCTGTGTCTATGCTGAGCAAAAGTTACACTAAATTAATGTTTCCAATATGGTCAACACCATATTCATTTACAAACCACCCTGGTATACCTATAATAGAGGAATATAGAGAGTGAAGCTTTAGCTGCCTCCATCATGTCATCGTCCTGGTCTGCAAACAGCAGGCTGACCCAGCAGCAGTGATGGGTGACTTCTCTCAGCTGAACACTGAATCTCCTCAGGAAGCTCCACAGACTCTTCAGGTACCCATAAACCTCTACTGCACTGCACCAACCTGCTGTGAGAGGATACAAGAAGCACAGGGAGAGTTTCAGCACAGTTTCCCATAACATATGTTACAGGTATAGCTCCTGCTGATTTAGAGTGATCAGAATTCTGTTAGATAAAGTTAGTGCCGAACACGGTACAAACAGGCTCACAGTGTTTAGTCATCCTGTGTTCTCACCTGCTGATTGGATGTGAAGCTCTGTGGACTTAAGGATGAGCAGGCTGACACCTCTAAGCATCACACAATCTGGTTTCTGGTCCTCATCACTTCTGATGGGTCGTATTCCTCCAAAGAAAGAGGCAGATTCAACATGAACCATCTCCAACCAATCAGCAGCCATGGCAGTCAGCACACTGTGAGCTACTCTGTTCATGTCAGAGCTGAAGTGTTCATGTCTGAGCCCTGAGAGCAGCACTTCTCCTGAAGCCCAGTCCTCTCCAGCCTTCTGCAGCACGGCCCTCTTCAAAAGCAACACAGCTCGCTTTCTTACAAAATACTCTGAGGAGCCGCTGATTATTTCCAGAAGAGCTGAGGAGTGGATGTGAGTTAATCTTTGACTCCTCAGATTCACAGCAGATCCACATATCAAAGTAGATGCAGTCAGCACCTCCAGCAGGTCCAGTAGTAGGCAGAATGTTGTCCCCCAGTGTCTGTTGCAGGTCAAACCATAAGACCCTCTGTCCTCAGGGAGAAACTTTGAACATAAATTACTCTGGCTCCAGTCAAAAGCTGCAAGGAGTTTCCCAAAAATCTCTGATGGAAGAAAACACATCCTTTTAAAAGCAGAAAGTGCACACAACACAACCAAGATTACACTGCAAGGGAAGCTTAGTGCCTCTATTCTGGGCCAAGCTGTTCAGGAAAATCTGACTGGGTAACAGCTGGATGAAAGGCAACCCTCAGAAATCTTTAAAACAGGTATTTCAAAAGACAGGGGAATAATAAAACGGTATTAAATCAGGTGATCTAGTCTTGGTTTGGTGTGTTGTTGATAACTTTTGAGTAGGATCAGGATAATCCGTATTACTCTAATCTAAGCAGATCCCTGGATCCAAGTTACATTACAGGAATTTACTATAAAAGAAGGTTTTAATTAGTCATAGAATAGAATTTTCAAAAGATGGTGATACTTCAGACATTTTCTCCACATTTTGTCTATAACTGGTGAATCGCTGATATGGTAGATTAAGATCTCCTAAAGTATGAAGAAAATGTTGATACTAAACAGAGCTGGACACTGGGTGGTCCTTGCTCCCCTTGCAGTGGACAGTGTGGTCTCCAAGAAGCATGTCAAATCCTTCTGATTTGTTAGACCACAGGACCACTCAACCTCAGTTCATCTTACATCAGTCAGTGGTTTTTGGGTGTGATTTTGAATCCATACAGTGATTTCCACTGCAGAGTCATGTCTGTTTTTCATCAAGTGCTATCTGAGAGTCTGAGGATCAGTATGCATTATGTTGTCTTTGCACTTTCCAATTTGTCAGTCTTGGATCAGTCCTGGGAAACAACTGATGCTCTATGTGCTGGTGAACAGAAAGTTCTGCTCATAGTCTGATTAAACTGTTTTTACCTGGTTGTGCTCCTTTCAGAAGTTTTTTGGATACCTCGGTCAGTGACCACAGGCAGGCATCCAGCTCAGCACCAGGGAGTGAGCTGTGAAAGGCCTGCACACACGTCTGCCTCCACGCTGGACTGATGGTACCCTGAAGAATCAAATGACAGGCTTTAGTATTTAATGGTTCAATTTGTAGGTGTAATTCAACCCTGATCACCACTCTGTCTCAATCTCAAGTTCACCTTTATTGTTTGCATACAAATTTGTAGTAAAACATCAGGGCTAATTCTTCCCATGCTTTCACTGACATTGTTTAGTTCACCTTACATGCTCTCTTAGGAAAATGGGCTTTACAGCATTCGAACTCTTAAGTTTTTCTCACACAGCAGCCAGAAACAGAAATGACAGCTTAAAACGCAGGATGGAGTAGAGATGACAACGCTCTTTGTGCATCAACTCATTTCAATTATTTGTTTTCTCAAGAACTAGATAAATTGGTTTAATATAAAATAACTAAGCCTGGGCCAAATTTGGCCTATCTGTCACCTAAAGGGAGCAAAATCAACTATGTGGCATCAGCAGAGAACTTAATGTAAATCAGAAATTTGTATTTTTCTGCAGTGTTGCATCAAGTCTTTTAAGTTTAATAACTGCAAAAAAAAAAAAAAAAAGAAATTGAAAAAATTTGTAAAAAAAAAAAAAAAAAAAGTGCAGCTCTATTAAGTAAAGGGAACGTCAAGACAATCTTAATATATGACTGCATTTATGCTGAGAAGTATTTTCCAGAATATAAACTACTGAACTCACTGATGATTGAAGGATATAGAAGACACACATTGACACACTCTTGGCAGCCAGATGTGAGATGATCTGATCTTCAGACTGGAATTGACGGACCTGAGGAGCAAAGGGAAATTCACATGACGGCATTCAGAATTATTATTTATTAAATGTATTAAATGGAGCCGGAGCAGAGTGTTAACTCACAAGTTGTGACATGAGATCCATGTCTTCAAACAGCCTCCTCAGCACCTCCTCAGAGTATGAGGTCAGAGCTGGACTGAAGCTCTGGGAGGTCAGACTGCAGGCGATCCTCTCCACCAGACTGAGGCTGATTAATGGCTTCAACACAAAGGACCAGATTCTTTGTCTTTCTATGTTTAACACTGTTGGAATAATCTCTCTGATAACACAAAAAATGATCTGAACAAACCATCCTAAATATTTCGTTCACAGCATTAATTTCACTTTATATTATTTCAAATAATTCTTCAAATGTCAAACAAAATGTTTTTAAGTGAATATAAAAATCATCTTTGTGAAATGTTAAACTTGTTTCTCTCTCTCTTTCTTTGACGTGTTTTCTTACCTTTTTTGGCTATTTTATTTATTCTGTACTGTAACTGTAAACAGACTTACGCGGAAGCAGCTTCGCTCCACGCTGTCGTCATGACAACCTTGCTTGTCCTCGACAGGCACCCGTCCGCACACCCCTGTGAAAATCAGTTCCGCTGCCTCCACGGTCGTCCGGTTGGGACTCGCTCCGGTCAGGAAACACCTGTACAACTGAGAGAGCGAGTCATCAGAGCCCACCGAGAGTTCCATGCTGCTCCTCATACTGATGGCGCTTCCTTATCCAAAAGGTCATGTGACCTACACGGAAGCCGCAACGACGAATGGAGCCGTCAAGCGTTGATGAATTTGCGGAAGTAAATAAAAAGTGGATTGAAGATCCTTCGAAGTAAAACAAATATAACCTCATTTATTGTGGTGGGCTCAAACAGTTTTTTTTAATTATTATTAAAATTAAATGTCATACCAGTAGCTCATTTCTTTAAAATTTCACCAGTCAGATGCTGGCGAACCATCCCTAGATGGTCTACCGGATTTAAATGATGTTTGCATTGCTCTTCAACCCTGGAGACATGCAACATGTGGGTACGGCAACACTACGTGGACAAACCGAACAGAGCTACATAGATGAACAATAAAACTAAACACGCATGTCTTGGTTTTGAGTTTGTTTCATGCCAGAAGGTGTATTACATTGATGTAGAAAAGTGTTCACAGACCAAGCTTCACTTAATGGATGAGACAAGCGTTATCAAGCCTCCCATTATAGAGGCTTTACATACATTTCATGTGTTTGAGGATATATGGAGACCAATAAGCCATCCATTAACAGTGTTAAGGAGTTTAAACAAATGATAAGGTCAAAAACTTCATTCGGGGGACAAGCACATCTCAAGTATGTGGAACCTATGGCCGCTCGCTCTCTCTCTCTCTCTCTCTCTCTCTCTCTCTCTCTCCTAGGCATACTGTGCTCCTGGGCTGTGAATGGAATTTTGTGTACAGTCCAGGAGAATTCCCTGGTCCTGAGGTTTTGAGCCTTTGCTCAGTTGGCTGTGTCTTGTTTGTCGCTGTTGGAGTTCTGAGTTTGTTTTTGCTACAGTTTTTGTAACAGGAGACGGACGGGTAATAAAGGTTTGGTTTCAAAAATCAAATCAAATCAAATCAATGGTGCAAATAAAAGTGCTAAAGGACAGAGTTTCTATGGCAAAACCTAGTTTGAATTTACAGAGATGAAGTTGTAGACAGAGGATATAGTCTTGAATGGAGTTGGGAGGAAGAATAAATCCTTGGGGTGGCAGCACTGCGTCTATGAGGATGAGAAGTCCCGTCAGAACTGTAGGAGCAAGAATATTTGAGCTAATGGGGCTTTTATTTTGAAGGTACGTAAGTGGAAGTTTCATTGTTTTTGCTACTGGGGTCAAACAGAGAGACTTTGTTGTTAAAGCTGATTGAACAACTGCGAAATGCTCCTCAATAACCTCCAAATTGATATGTAGAAGACTTTGAAGAGGTTATATCAATGTTCGGAGCTGGATTTGAATGAAAGAGGGCAAAAAATGAGGCTTTGAGTCCCCACATTCCTCCTGTCTGAGGCTGAGTTAACCGTCGGCTTACTGTCTGTAAGTCTTTGTTTTCTACTATCAATGCTGCTTAAATTTACCAGAAGACATTGAAAATAACATTCTTATCGATGTGTACACAGTTTGACGCCTTGTGTGCTTACACAAGGCAGAAAAAAACAGCACATCAGGAGCTAGTATAATATCGGTATGAGTTAGTTAGCTCGCTGGCTCGGCAGTGTTAGCCTACATCCTGGGGTCAGTGTGAGCCCCCAAAATAAGGTTTTTTTTTCTCAACTAATTTACTTTTAAAAAATGTTTACACCAGTGAAGCATTTCTTTTCATCTGCCCATTTCAATACCTCAGGCTGTTTTTAGTTTTCACTTAATATATTATCAGGTACTAAGCCTTTCTATTGTGTTCAAGCTCATATAGTCATGTTTCATATAAGCAGGGGCGCGTCCAGACCCTCTGAGATAGGTGGCTCCAACCAGGACACTTAGCCCGGGGAGGGGTGTAATCTCCTGAGTTTCATTCCTAAGACACAATTTGAAGTACTAAGTCTTGCCAGTAAAACTTATACCCACTCTCTATCAGTCAAAAATGTATCTGAAACCTTGCAAATTCATGTATTTTTGACAGTTTGTGTTCTGGGGGTTGCTTGCAGCTCAGTGCCTCCCCTGGACACATGTAATGTGGAAAAAAGTACAAAGAGTTTTTCTACAGTTGAGAGTAAGGGTTGGACAAAATATTAATTGAAATACATTTAAACGTAAAGCATGATTAGAACCAGAGGCAGCCCATGGCAGCCGCTGGTCCGACTCCTGGCCATTTACTTTATGTCTCCTCCACCATCTCCTCCCCACATTTCTTGTCTTTGATGAGAACGTATTTTGCCAGTTCTGATAAAACTGCTGATACAGCTGTATCCACTCTTATCTCTTCACAGGCTGCCATTGTAAACAGGCACACCACAATTAAACATCCCTGTAGCTACTGCCTCCTTTTTTTAATTCATGCTGATTGGTTCAGTTATTTTCTGACCAGTAACGACCATAGATTGTATATACTATGGACAACTTGGTTCCGCCCACTGCCTGTATATGGATTTGAAGCCAAATAGCTCTCGGTATTTCCGGGACTTTTCTTCATTTCCTGAAACCAGCACTGCGCAATAGCGATGCACGCATTCAGGCACGCAGTCGCCTGGACAGGCTGTGATGACGCTCGGCTCAAACAGCGTATCCCCCCAGGAGACACACTCGCTGAACACGCATAGGCTGTATCAGGTGTCAGTCATAGAAAACATGAACCCCCGAATAACTTTTAAAAATGGAGCTTCACAGAAAAAAGAGGACTTGAGCACAAACCAGTCTTACAGTAACTACATGTCAACATCACAAGCAGGAGGGAGAAAAATTTATGTTCTGTGTAATAAATTTCTAAAGTTTATCCACAGCTCCATAAGCTTTGCAGATAGAGGCGGGATTTATGACCTATACTGCAGCCCGCCAACAGAGGGTGCTGTTCCCAGAGTGGCTTCACCCAGCAAAGAGGCGGACTCTGACATGTCATCCAGCTGATCTTCTTGATCCTCTGGTGGTTACTGATGTGTTTTTTAACTTTGTTTAATGATCAAAGTTAAGACTGCTGACAGGTTTTTTGGACCCAACCCTTTTATGTTCTTACTAGGGATGGGCGATATCGGCTAAAAAAAATTATCACAATAAGTTTGGCCATTCTGGCGATAATGAGTCCTTATAAAAAATATTACAATTCCTATCCATGTTTTTGACTCAATCTGTCTTGAGGACACCAGTTGGCATAGTCAAATAAAATACTTAACTACAAGTTTAAGTGGTAGGTTATAGGAAGAACTAGTGATATGTAAAAATATGTAAAACATTTGTTGAAAACTCTTATTGCACAGAGTGAACAGCAGCAGATCCACTGTCTGATGTCAGGCATACCTGATTGCACTCATCTAAACCCCAATCTTGAAGGAAATCCCTCATGTAAAGCTTCATTTAGCAACAGGCTGCTCAGAGACGTCTTCTTCACCACCTTTGGCCATGTTTGTACTTCTGCTCTGTGTGGATTATGGCTGCAAGTCAGTTGCTCGTGCTTACGTCATCAACTTGCATTTATTGCGTTTATCATAAGTTGGCAAATATTTTTTATAAAGTGAATATAATATTTGTGGAGGAATTTTCTGACAATAAATCATTAACAATAATTTATCGCCCATCCCTAGTTCTTACTATCCTGAAAGTCTCGATGCTCTTGCGGGTGATGATTCTTGAGATGTACTTTTAAACTGGTAGTGCCAAAGAGGTGTTTTTTTGGTCCTCCTCACACCCCCTGTCCTTCACAAACATTGCAGTTATCTGGGGTGTCTGTTTCTGACACTTCACAATATTTCTGCACAGCTGATTGTTGTTGTGGGAAAGGTGTCAGTCAGGGAAAGGTGTCCGTCAGAACATGTAATCAGAAATGTTCATGCTTTTATCTTCCAATAATGATGTTATGCCAATAATATCATAGTTATCCCTGCCACCAAATATGAGATAAGATAAGAAGAACTGTATTTATCCCTGAGGGGAAATTGGATATTGATATTGTAGTTTAAAATTAACATGCACTCTACCTCATGGCGCATTTTATGTTTTTTGATCAGATATTATTGTGTCTTGTCTTGCAGTTGTATGTTGAAACATTTCTGCTGTATTAGTACTTATCGGTGATGCTGTGTAATTACATGGTTAACCTAATCAAATAGCTGCAGCTTCTTCTTATTTGGATATTACATTTGGCAATGCTGCAATTATTTTAATTGTGCAGCTCTGTATCACACCCGCGATGTGCACCCTTGACCTTGGCTCTCAGTTTGTAGTAGCAGTGGGAAAAAAGTGCTGTATTTAAATGTTTTTTTTTTTTCTGATAGCCTGTTGCAAGTCATCCTAAATGGTTGATTTTTACATAAGTTTTGCCTCTGGTTAAGTAAACAGCCAATCACAGGTCAGGATTTCGGAGCGGCATCTTGGGAGGCAAAAAGTTAAAAAATGACAACAGGAACTTTATACTGTATGTGCTAAAGAGTTTTCCCAGAAGTTTTTCCCAGACAGGGCATCACCTGATTTGTAACCCAGGCTGTGTAGCAACAGAAGTGTGTTATCTGCAGGGAGATGTGCAACTTTTCTTTCGTTTGACTTTCTTTTTATGTAAATATGTTAATAGTCATATCAAACGTAGTACTTATACACTCGAGACAAATCCAGAACGAATCAACATTTATTTATTTTTTCACATAGGTTTTTAAAAATCATAAATATCAAAGTGTTCACTGCTCTCTACCTGGTTTTGCTCACTCTTTTTTTTTTTGTTCATTGCAGATAACCAGGCTGCAGAGTGCCCCCTGTGTCCGCTCTCAGCCCCCCTGTAGCTGTATATTTACAGGTGCAGCTCCGATATGACTAAGAGAAGCACGTCTCTGCAGCTTGTCAAAAGGTATGTTTAAAACATACTGTCCCTCACTATAAATCCGATAAAAAGCAGCTGAGGCAGAGGTGGGTTGTCAAATGATTTGCAGCAGGAAGAGTAGACAGGCCAAAGCAATTTCAATAGAACACTTATTTTGCCTTTTGTGATAAGATGAGTAGAATTTGCTGTCAGCTGATATGGGTTTAGCTTGACTTAGTGGCATGCCTTAAGTGACACCGTGCTTATTCTTTTTTTTTTAAACATTACATAAAACGTGTGCTACATCTTTTTAAATCACAGTCATGAGAGTTGCAGCTTTTGCAAGAATGTGCTATATGTATCCATGTGATACACTATACATTAAAAAAAGATGCAATAAATTGAGATTATAATCCAGAAGATGTTAGTGAAGGTAAAGAGTGATATGAGTCTGATGCAAGTTTTTTTTAGGAAGGTAAGTAAAATGATGTAAAAATGACCATTAAAAGACTCTGACTCTGTTGTTAGCTTTGCTTCTTGCATTTAGAATTAGACCTGGGTTTTGAAGTGGAAAAACTATGTGTGTGTCCTTGAAACTGCACATACTCTCATGCTGGTTTTGCTGTAACAGGTACACATGGTTCTGTTTTTACTCCACTGGGTGCTTGTGTGAATGTGGGCAAGCTCATGCATGTTGCCCAGTGAGTCCACATAGTTGTATGTTCACGCAGGGTGTGGATGGTCTGCTCTTTACAGGTGGACATCAGCTGATCACCAGATATACAGTACCTCACACACTTTTTACTCTTTACATTTTTTAACATAATCTTGTTCACTTTATCATAACGTCTTTCATACAAATGACTGCAAAGATGACTATTCTCTTGTTTTTACTGGCTGTTTAATAGACTGTAAAGATGTTAGAGTTTATTGAAGACAAACTAATTAAATCAATTTCAGTACACCAGGTCATTATGCCATTTAAGAAAAAAAAATGTCTCAACTGGTGAAAAATGATAGATGTGCCGAAAGGCTGTTTTTCTTTGTAGCTGTTCACAGTCTGAGTCAAGATGTTTGATGTGTGTTGATACTGTACATTTTAAAATTGTGTCAAGTTATTGTTGAAGGGCAACAATAACTTGAGACATTGTGATTTTTATTAAGATTAAAATGACTGATGCTTTTATGTGTGATTGGAAAATATGCTGAGGAAACCAAATTAAAAGATAATCACAGAAACCTCAGAACAGATGATAAACCTCGTAAAAAATGTAGCTACTGTCTTTCATGCTTGATAGCTGAAGATTCTTAAAGGTGCAGCTGTGCTGCAAACATACCCTGGAGGGATATTTCAATTACTACAATTTATTCAACAAAAACTCACAGAGCTCAAACAGAAAGTGTCTCTGCAGAGTCAGTGGCTGTGTCTACATGCAGTCAATATTCTGGTTAAGGTCAATATTCCGGTTTCTGAAACATTAGAAATAACCGTACACAAGCGTCAACAAACAGGGTTATTCCTGTTGACATGGTATCCCGATCAAAACAGTGACGCACGGACAACATCTCAATACACAGAGAACGTCATGACGCAATGCGTATCTAGGACTTCCAAAAGACCAAGATCTCTTGCGAACAGAACATGCACAGAACACAAATAAATGTTCCTTTTGATGGGGATATCCCAATAGGTGAATACATGACCAAATATTCGGGTTAGAAAAGGAGTAACCCAGGGGTGGGGTTTTGAAAAAATAGAATATGAGCATATTCCGTTTTGTTTTTTTTTTCAAAAGGGTTATTGGTGTTTACATGGGCGTGCGCAACCGGGTTATTGCTAATATTCTGGTAATGAAAGGGTTAATGACTGCATGTAAACATAGCCACCACCTTTACCTTAGTTTGCTGCTGTGCATCTCAAATTCTGGCCAATTCCTGTTACCTACCTGCTGACAGTCAACACATGATTTTCAGCAATCAGAACACAAGAGACCAGCTCTTGTGTCATTAAACATGGATAATATTAGTGTTTATTGAATATCATAACATTGATGGAGAGAAAGAACATCACCAAATAAACAGGGACAATATAAAGGCCTATTTTGTATTGTTTTTGTACAACCGGCTGTGATACATTGACTGTTTTTCCATATGTGTATCACTCGTGATTTAAATGACAACAGAAAGAAGTAAAACTGTGTTTTCATCGGACACGTAGAATAGATATTGAATTGTTTGTGTACAAGGGGATGCAGGGAAAGACAGATTCCATGTCACTTCTCCTATGTGCTTAGCTTATGCATTTCAGAAGGATATTCTATCATTGGAAATATTACTGTTCGACTTCAAGGCACAAAGTTTGACAGTTTTATATAAAAATCAAAGTTAACCCTGCTGTAGATTTCTTTTGTTCAGAGCCTTTTCGCAAGTAGAAAATACTTAGGAAATTTAAGTCCTCACCCTGTGGTAAAGTAATGTGTTAATAAGGATTCCTGTTGTTCACCTCTCACCTGACCTTCATGCACTCCTGGCAGAGGTCTGGACTCCACTCAGTGCCCCTCTCTGCTGTATGCTGTGTGTTGACATAGAGTATAAGGTTTGTTATTGGCCAATATGTTGTATTTCAGCTCTTTATTATTTTTTTTACTTCTTGAACAGCTGAACACATAATGATTTGATATTCTGTTATTGGGCTCAGCAGCCTTGAGCCAGTGCAAAAAGGTTAATCATGTTCATTGTATCTGTTGTATCAACACCTAAACACAGCTCAGGAGTTTTGTTCACAGGAGTTTTTTATTTTCTTCATTCCCCTCCTCAGCTTCTGTGGATCAGATGATGCTGAAAATGCTCCTTTTACTCAAACTTTAGTTTTTTGCTGATGTTTTTCATCAGAGAAATGAACCATCATGAATTTCCCCCTCCTCCTCCCCTGTGACAGGATGCTGAACCATCACTGCAGAAGGAACCCCGAGCTTCATGAGGAGCTGCAGATTCAGGCTGCAGTGGCATCAGGAGATGTCTGCACCGTGCGGAGGATGCTGGAACAAGGATACTCGCCGAAGATCAGAGATGCGAACGGCTGGACCCTGCTGCACTTCTCTGCTGCCAAAGGGAAAGAGAGATGTGTGCGGGTCTTTCTGGAGCATGGAGGTCAGACACTTTGTGGTTTATCATCTGATGCTGACCAATTCTCTGTTCAAACACTAGATGGCACAATTTCAAAAGAGAAGAAAGTCTGATTCATCTCCATGTCAGCAGACACATGGTTTCCAGAGCCAGACAAATGTGCAGTTTAAACAGAATAAATACAACACTTATTGTTTTACAAGATGAATTCATGGGGACAGTGAATGTGATTATACTCAGAGGTCCTCTGCAGGTATATTATGAAGGTAATTGGCAGATTATAATTGTTTTCAGGTAAGTGTAAACTTCTTTTTAATGTTGTTCCAAGCAAAGGCTGGAGCATCATGTTCACAAAAGAGGGACACGATTTGATGTGGAACAGAGTACATACTGAACACTAGAGCTAAGCCTGCAGAACAAGCCCATCCCAAGTGCCTTTAAACATACTGATCTGCCAGCAGAAGAAAATGCAATCATCTCTTTGAAGTAAATGTGTTCATTATAACTAGGGCTAACTACAGTAAACAAAATAACAATATGATACCATTAGATTACTCAGTTTTACCTGAAGTCCAGCTGGCATGGGTGTAAAACTCACTTCTTTATCTCTGTATAATTAATCTCTGTTTCAGTTCTGTTGGACCTGAGTGCAGCCTTTGACACAGTGGATCACACAATTCTCTTAAACAGACTCCATTCCAGACTATTGCAATGCTCTCCTCTCTGGTCTCCCTAAGAAGAACATTTCACAGCTTCAGCTACTACAAAATTCAGCTGCACACATGCTGACCAAGACCAGGAGGAGAGCCCACATCGCACCAATTTAAAAATCTCTGCATTGGTTACCTGTGTCTTTTAGAGTAGATTTTAAGTTAATTCGTTTTTAAAGCTCGTAATGGTCTTTGTCCTTCTTATTTGTCTGATTTGCTTTTACCATATGAACTTAGTAGAGCCCTCAGATCTTCAGGTGGTGGTCTTTTAATTGTTCACAAAGTAAAAACCAAAACATACGGTGAATCATCGTTTCAACATTACGGTCCCCATCTGTGTAACAGCCTACCTGCAGACCTGAGAGCGACACCTACTGTTCATATTTTTAAAAGTAACTTGAAGACCTACATTACATAACATTAGTCTGACTTTTAGTTGAATTTTGTTTTAATCTTTAAGTCCGCATTATGTGATGTTATGCTATTTTAGTCCTAGAGTAATTATTTTGTGTTTTATTACCTCTTTCTAATGTACTTTCTTTTATTGTTTGATTTTAAGACTTTTATTTAATTAAATTTTAACGTTTTATCACCTTTATTATATTTTATCATGGTTTTAACGTTTTAGTCCGAGATCCGGTGTTTCCTCATCTTTTTTAACTCAAGATAGCGTTTCCTCAGTCATCTGTGGCAAGTTGAAGTGTTCTGGTCTTTAGTGTGTGCATCTGTGTGTGTTATTGTGTGAGTGCTGTATGTGTTGAATGGAGGGTGGGTGGGGTTTGGTATTTGTATTTTTATTTATTTTATTTTATAGTTTTTTTTAATATCATGCGTGAATGGACAGCACTTTGTGCTACATTCCTTGTATAAAAAGTGCTTTAAAAAAAAAGTTTGATTGATTGATTAATTGACTTCTTATATCCTGTTTGACAGGCTCTGCTGAATCAGGTGTACAAAACTGGAGTGCATGCAACACGTCAGGCTTAGATAAAGTAAAAAATAAAGGGATCAATCCAGGGCGCAGTGGAGCTAAGCAATGACATGGGACAAACGTCAGAGCCCCAGATGTCTGTTGTGAAACTGAAACACCAGTCAGCTGCTTTTCTTTTGATTGTAAAATGAGGTACATTCAGAAACCTAACATTCTGAGCAGATATGTAAGCTGTCAGAGGCGAGGGTTTGTCCTGGTTAGCTTGTGTCTTAAAAAGAATTTCTCTCTAAAAGCTCTGAGTGAGAGAAGTCCATCAGGTGAGGAGGCTTATGTGGCCGGTGAAATTGCAGTTGAGGTCCAGCTGATCATCACAGCCTCTGAGAAAATGTCCTGCTTTTTTTGACAGTTCTTTAACTTGTTGTCTCTGTGCCTCCCCTCCCTTTGTATGCAGCCGACCCCACAGTGAAGGACTTCATCGGAGGCTTCACAGCACTTCACTACGCTGCCATGCACGGTAGAGCACGTATCGCCCGACTGATGCTGGAATCTGAGTTTCGCAGTGACATTATAAATGCAAAGAGCAACGATGGCTGGACGCCGTTGCATGTGGCCGCCCACTACGGCCGGGACTCGTTTGTACGCCTCCTCCTCGAGTTCAGGGCCGAGGTGGACCCACTTAGTGACAAAGGCACAACACCGCTGCAGTTGGCCATCATCCGTGAGCGCTCCAGCTGTGTACGAATCCTGCTGGACCACAGCGCCAACATCGACATTCAAAACGGTTTCCTGCTGCGGTACGCCGTCATCAAAGGCAATCATTCATACTGCCGCATGTTCCTGCAGAGGGGAGCGGACACTAACCTGGGACGTCTAGAGGATGGTCAGACCCCTCTGCACCTGTCGGCCCTCAGGGATGATGTTTTGTGTGCTCAGATGCTCTACATGTATGGGGCGGACACCAACACCAGGAACTATGAGGGCCAGACCCCCTTAGCTGTTTCTGTTAGCATGTCTGGGATCAGCCGGCCCTGTCTGGACTTTCTTCAGGAAGTCACCAGTGAGTCTCACCAACACAAAACTGACACTCGACATATGTACATTCTAAAATAAGCAACAAGTTAAATGAAGGAGCATCCTTGTTTTGATAAGAGTAAAAAAATTTCAGATCTTTTAAACATACGCCCTATAAATTATACATAACATGAGTTTAAATGAAATGACAGTTGAAGTTGAGTTACCATGGTACCACAACTGTAAACTTTGTTAAGATACAGGAGATGTTTCATTATGTAGTCCCTTTTAAGACCGCAAAAGAAAACGTAGCTAAGTCCCCAAATGAGGTCATTTAATTTATTTTAATGCAAATTTTACCTGCAAACAGTCTCAGTGAATGAAAGTCTATGAAGCTCCATTCACCATCCATAAACTGTTCTTGTCACTTAGCAATGGGTGGCAACCTGGCCAACCAGCTAGCATAATTAGCATAACATAATTTAAAACCATCACAGACATTTTGAAGATAGTATGTAAGTAAGATAGTAAGAAGATAGTATGTTTCTCATGAAACATACTATCTGCTGTTTGCTGGGTCTGCTGTATTAGTTAAGTTCGGTACTACTTGTACTGTCCTAAAGTTTATGAAAGGATCCATAAATAGATGGTTTTGCAGACTCAAAGAATAACAGCCTGAGCCTGTCAGTGAAAAAAATCAGGACTTACATAAGGCATGTTTCTCATCTCATTTGAAACATTTTTCAACTATGTAAAATCTCCGATCCACTGTAGGTATATTAGTCAAATCATACAGTTTTATAGGATCCTTGGTTTTCAATATTTTTGAAATGAGCTTTGCACGCCTCAGTGTGCGTACCGGCCAGGTATACTTGCTGATTTGCTCACGGTGGGAAAGTTGGACACCCTTAACCATGAAAATCAATCCGGGGAAGAGGGTGGGGCGAAGAGATGGATTCCTGGTTTAATACAAAAGTGACAGAGATTTTTGTTGTAAGTTGAGAGGAGTAAAATGTGAGAAATGTATAAAGAGAAAGAGGGCTGCTTGCCAACACAGAGGTTATAATGAGCAGTGTTCAGTCCCAGAACAATCCCAGGTAGGATGAAGAGGAGAGCACATTACCTGGAGCAGTATGATTTAGAGGGAACAATGGCTGCATTCCTCTGGCCCCCTTCACTTTGATATCAAAGATATCAAAGAGCTGTTCTCTAATTCTGACAAGCCCTTTCAGAGAGTCCAGACCTTCAGGCAGATCACATATCTGCTGCCTTATTGATTACACCTCTGCCTCCTGGATTAACTCATGTGCCATGAAAGGCTTGTCCTGCACAGAATGACAGGCACCCAGCTCTTGTCAACAGCTGCACACGTCATAGTTACTCCCTGTGGGTTTTTCTCATGTCAGATACTGAAACAGGACCTGCCATGCTCTTTTTATACTCTGCTTGATAGGCGAGTGAAGTCAGTGGAAGTAATTAGCCGCGCAGAGAGACGACTGAAACTGTAGGAATTACTATGAAAAGGATAAGGTATAGTGAGGAGGTGGTTTCAGCTGATTTGAACCTCCTCACCAGGGTGAGCTAGACTGCCTTATCTCATCCTGAAGACACTAACTTGCTGTTCAGTCATTTGATTCACAGTAAATGCAGATGGTTCCACTTGTTTGCAGGATGTAGGCTGATGCTTTGAAATACTGTCCCATTACTGCAAAGGTCAACAGAAGATGACCTTAGTCTGTTACTTATGGGGTCTATTGAGACCATGGACTGCTCTGGTTTTTCATGTGATTTTCTTTCTGTCACAGCTTCTAGCTGTTTCTGTGAGTTTACCTGCGTCAGGCCAGTGACAACCACACTTCACTTCCTGGAAATAAGGGGCTTCTCCCAGACTGTTTGCATATGACTGATAACAGGGTGCAGAGTGAGGGATCAGAAGAGCTGGCTGCAGCTTTGTAAGACTATCATAGTTGCCTTAATCAAGATTTCGTTGTCTACCGCCAACTTTACAATTACCCACAATTGTGATTTAGAGTGGATCGTGTTGGTGGAGCAGCAAAATAAATGTCTGAATGGCACTAAATAAATATATTTAAATATACAAAAAAATGGATACATATATTTAAATATATTAAATAAATATATTTAATGCCACTATGAGATGAACATGGAAACTACAGAGCCCAGCTTTTGATCACAAGCCCAACAGAACATCAACAGTGGCAGAGCGATCACTGTAAAAGAGATTTCTGAAAGTAAATTTTGTGCTGTGCATTCAAACAGAAGGTGTGATATCTTTGATCACCAACAGACAAGGGTTTATCAGAAGTGAGAGAGACATTTAAAGAGACTGTTTGATGAACATGTAAGCTTAAAGATGGGGTATTGTGTATTTTTTCAGACTGTATACTTCCTCTCTGATACCTCTTTAATATCTACATATAGAGCTCTGGCTAAGGGCAGCGCTTGATGTTTTGGCCCTGCCCCCTTTATTGTGGTCGATGAGCAGAGCAGTGGAGCAGTGTTACCCTGCTCCTCTGTTGGTGTCACCTCACACGCTGTTGGTGGCAGGCTGTCCTGCTTTGCCTGAAGCATGGGTGAACTAGTAAAGAGAGATGATAACACTGACACTAACATTTTAATGAGTCTTGCATCTAAGAGCAGGCTCCCATTTTGAGTAGTTTACATCTATTTTCTAAGATTATGTCAACATATGTTTACCTTGTGATTTTAAACTTTGCGTTCATGTAGTATGGACACCAAACTTTGTAACTTTGTAGTTTTGGTTGTAAATGTGGAAAAGCACAACACCAGCACTTCAAGTTTGGTATTGCAGCCTACTTGAAACCATCTTTGTACAGTCGGACAGATGTGCACAGAAACACTGTGTCAAATTGTTAGAATAGCCTCTTAAGTGAATAACAGACCATGTGATTATTGCTTTGCCAAAACAGACACCTCCTTTCAACTTAACTGAAAGTTTGGCAGCTTCTGGTTGGTTCTCATCAGAATAAACTAGGGGTTTAATGGTTCACAAAAATCCTGGTTTGGTACGTACCTTGGTTTTGAAGCCACAGATTGGTTCTGGAGCCATGGAAGACAAAGGAACTGACACAATGTGAAACCCTGAAATGCATTTTGCTGAAATATCAGCTTACTTTGCTTTCTCACCCTCAGACATAAACACAAACAAAGCTTATCTATAATAGCTGCTGATAAACAGCCCATTGTTTTATGAGTCACTAAGTGTAAATATGCCCTAAACATGTTTTTCCACTCAGTAAAAGATGTTTCTGTTTCTCTTTCAGAACAACCTCGGACTCTACAAGACTTGTGCCGAATAAAAATCCGCCACTGCATCGGCCTTCAGAGCTTGAGATTTTTGGAGGATCTACCAATCGCAAAGGTTATGAAAGACTATTTAAAACACAAGTTTGACAATGTGTGAAGGAGATGAGGAAAGACATAAAACCCTGCTGACACTTCTAAAGACTATGCAATAACTCTGCTCCCTGTCTGGAGGAACAGTCCGCAGGTCTGCTGTTGACGCGCTAAAGCTGTCTTTGCTCCGGTTTAGCACATTAAAGAGCCCTCTGCTCATGTTCGCTATTTCGCTGTCTTTGATTTTTAAACAGTTGCTTGAGGATTGAAAGAAGATCCACCTCCTGTGAGTCATTTGTGGGAAAAGGAAAATCTCAATTCACAGCAGATAGAATTGTTACAACTGCATCTGAAAGAAATGTGCATGACAGCGTTGAATCCGTGCTTTTGTTTTGGGTTTATTCAGCAGTTCACAGAAATACCTCAGTTACAAATGTTCAACTCATCTACATTACATTTTGTTTAAATACTTGTTCCACAGGAGTACCCACCAGTTCTGAGTTCAAACTGGATGTCAGGGCAGAACAAAGGCAAGAGAAATGGAAAGCTGTTCGGTATGATTTCTACGCGACTAAATGTCTTCCTCACTGATAAATGTAAAAAATTCTGATTTCTAATGAACAGGATGTTCAGGGCTGCTGTATGGCGCTTTGACAAAGTTAGGTTTCTCAAAGAGACGAACACCAGATCTAAGTGACTTACCATTACAGAGGGTTGACATCTAACATCGTAAACCTGGGAGCTTTTTTACTCAGGTTTTCAATAAGAACGTTTAGCATTGCCTTGGGAGATTACTTCAACTTAACAGACTGTAATAGCTGGCTGAACATTTGTCAGGGCAACTGCAGCCCTGTTAGTGTTCTGTCTGATTTGATACTGTACAAACAGAGGCAGCAGTGGATCAGGAGGTCCTTCCCTCAAATTAACATCTGTTTTTTCAGTCGAATTTGATGGCTTCAAAAAGAGCAAGGCTCTGTAAAGCACTGTGAGGAGTTTTGAACTGGTTTCACTTAAAAAAAAAAATAGTGAAATTACATTATTAGCGATAAAATCAGTTATTTCCTCATCCTAAATTTGAGTGCCTGTGTATGAGTCAGCCTTCAAAAAGCTGTGTCAGTATTCATCTTTCACCCTGATGTGTCTTAGTTCAAATGAAGCCCATAAAGTTTGGTACGAAATTATTTTTTAGATTATTATGTGATGTACGTGTGGCTGATAATGGAGCAGGATTTGTAAAATAATGTAAGTTATCTACTGAAGTAACATTTTGGAAAGGAACTCTGCAGCAAAGTCAAAAAGGTAAAACAGCTTGGAGCAGGAATTCAACAGGCTGGTGTGTGACCACTGAGAACCAGAGTCTAACCATGAGCATCATTATTTCATCCAGCTATTTTGCAAGATTGCAGCACACCTCTTGAAAGCTAACCGGGAGTAAAAAAATAAAATAAAATAAAATTACAAGGTTTTATCAGTGTTATGTTACAGTTACACAACTACAAGTCATCACACTGCACCCTGTAAAAAGTTGTGTTAAACAAAAAAACTAAAGATCTTGATTCTGCAACACACTGGTGATTAAAGAAAAAGAAAAATGTGGCAGAATTAAAAAAAAAAGTTCAAAATTTATGAGAGTGCACTCATAAAGATCTTACTAGTGAATGAACAAAATTTAAGTCATACATTAACAGAAATAAACTTTTTAACAAGATTACATTTGGACATTTATGAGAAAAAAGTCTTGAATTCAAGGGAAAACAAGTCAGAAAAACAAGCTTCCTGTGATGAGTCAATGTGTAAAATGATGATTATAGGGGTTTAACAAGGTTGACCTGCTGCCTGCACAAAACTAAAGAAGGTGGATTGTCTTTATGAAGTTATACCGCCAAGTCATGCTCATTTGAGATCAAACAGCAGTAGCAGAAGCATGCACAGACTGCCAGTCAGATAGTTATTTGTGAAACCTAAGCTTTTACTTTATAAAATCCTCTAAATTCATAGTTTAATGCTCTTCGCATTGTCCCTTCGAAAATAACATCTAGAGAAACTGTGGACTAAAGTTAGGAGCATTTTCTTTTAAGTATTACAAATTTATTTTTGTAGATTTACCAATGCATTTAGGTAAACAAAGTTATTTTTTATTTCTTTTATTTATTTATTTTTTTGATAATGTTGCCCTCAAAGGGATATTCTGGCATAAAACTAAGTTAGGGCCAAACACACCATAACACTGAATTAGACCCTCCTCGAGAGTTGCCAACTGCTTGCTTCTCTAGTTATACCAACTTTAGTAATGACCGCACAATAGCAGTACACAGCGGTCTATGGATCCACCCACAAACCTCAACCAAAAAGCCACTCTATAGCCACAAATAATGCTCAGAACAGCACCTAACTTCATCAACAGTACATATAGGGGCCCAGCCATAGTACTGGCTATCAAACATATTTTTAGCTTTGCCTGATTTCTTTAGCAAAGAGATTAAATACAACTCACCCACTCTCTTCCAGCAGCCGCTTGTTTGTGGAGGGAGCCGTGACGAGTCGATCACCGAGTACAGTGAATCATTTCCATGAAGTAATAGTCATCATATTAATTATCTTGAACTGCAGACACTGTAGTTCTTCTGCCTTAGTCTCAGTCTGATTGCTTTCCATGAAGTAATAATCATAAATGTTCTTCCTTGAACTGCAAAATTCAGCTGCACTCAGTGATGGACTCGTCAGGGCTCACCCACAAACAAGCGGCTGCTGGAGAAGAGTGGGTGAGTTGTGTTTGGTCTCTTAGCTAAAGAAATCAGACAAAGCTTAAAAGATGTTTGATGGCTACTACTGTGGCTGGGACCCTATATGTACTGTTGATGAAGTTAGGTGCTGTTCAAAGCATTATTTGTGGCTGTAGAGTGGCTTTTTGGTTGAGGTTTGTGAGTGGATCCATAGACCGCTGTGTACTGCAATTGTGTGGTCGTTACTAAAGTTGGTATAACTAGAGAAGCAAGCAGTCGGCAACATTCATCTCTCGAGGGGGTGCCTTACTTTGTGTTACCGTGTGTTTGACCCAACCGTAAATTGACGCCGGAATATCCCCTTAAACTCCATCACTGCACATTCATTTGATCCAACAACCCCTCATCCCCACATCTTTCTGACTCTGGGTATTGGTGCTTCTAGAAAATGTAGTCTGCATCCCAGAAAAACTCTCCTGGTTTCATCCAGAATCAACACAACTTAAAAACTCCTCACAGTGACACCAACAAACTGGTTTGTTAGACTGTCTGACACTAAGATTAACATGCTGAGCCTGTCAGAGACAAGAAAAACAACTTCAAGTGGACTGTGATCTGATCAGACAATTTTGTTCTTAAGGATTGTTTTATTTTGTACCCATACTTACCCAGTTAAAATCCTCATTTGTAAAGATACGTCATAACAGAGTTGAGGTGTAAGAACGACCCATTCTCTCTGACGAACAGAATAAAAGAAATCAAATGTACTTAATTCTGACTCAAGTAAAATTGTGGCTCGCAAATATAATTGGAACTGAATGTGATTCCTCTTTGAATCCATTTGCTCTGCTGTAGTCAGTTATCATTCAACTTTTTTGGTCTGTTTTTCCACCTAGTGACAAACATATGAGTTTGGAGTAGGTGCACTGCGTTTACTCTCTGAAGCAGCCATACGTCAAATCATTACAAGTCAAGTCTGATTAGACAACACTTCCGCTCAATCAGTAGATGCTACAGTGGGTGTAAATATGTTACATGTACAACAGATATTTTTGTAGACTTTATTTAAGCAATGACCTCTGGTATTCATACTGTATTTAAAGTTTGGACAGTGTTGTGATTTCTTTGGTGTGACTCGATTATTTCTTTCTGTATGTTTGAGTTCAAATGCTCTGTTGTAAAAAAATACTTTGGAATCAGATATTCTCTCATTTTTAAAGCAGAAATGTTGGGTGCTTTCTTAAAATTCATCATCTCTTGCAGGTAACTGTTGTAGAGATAATACTGTGAATTTTTAATTTTGAACATTTAAAATAAAATGTAGAAACTGGGGTTAAAGTTCTGCCTTCTCAACAGGATTTTTTTGTGATTTTTCTGTCTTTGTGTGTTTAGCCATGCAGAACTGTGCAACTTGGGCATCTTGGGATCTTGGGGGTCGTGGTGTGTGTGGGTGGTGGTGGGGGTGTGGGTGGTGGTGGGGGGGTAACATTTAGCTAAAGAGAGGTTAAAGCATGAAGAGCTCTTCATGCGAACAAAGCTGGGTTATAATGGGAGAGGAAAGGAAGGTCCGCAATAGACCCAGAATAAGACCTTTGTTATATAGCTGTCAAGGGAAAAAAATGAATGGATAAGTAATGTAAAAGAGGAAGAACAGGAGGAGGAAAAGAAGTGAACAAGAAATGGGATTTGAACCTCTGAACACAGCTCACTAAAATCAAAAACGTACAGGCATGATCAGACTAGACTGAGAATGTGTATTTAGCCTCCTGTCATAAATATAGAGCATGCTTTTGGCGCTTAACATGATTATCTAGAAGTAGATAAACCCTAATGTATGAGCAGGATAAGGCTCACATAGATAACACTGAATCTTAGCAGGGCCCTTTCTCTGCAGAGTGAGCAAGTTCTGGATTTAAACCCATGCTTTGGAATAACCCTAATGTACTGGTACTGGCAGCACATTGCTGTGGGAGAAGGCAATAAGGGGGAGGAAGTGGTCACACATACTTGGAGTATCTTGGAAAAAAGTTTTCTTACTTTATACCCTGAGATATACCCTGATAACAAGTATTTATATTACCCAGGGTACAAGTACTCTGATTTCTGAAAGCTGAAGTGAAAGGACTCTGATAACTCATCATCTGACACCTTTAAGGAAATGTGATCAGACCACGTTTTCTGAGTACTTAAAAAAAAAAAAAAAGTAAGACACTGAATTTATCATCAGCACACCTCTGTTGACAGATTTGGTAATAACTGATGAAACTTTCGTACCAAGCTGCAGGTTGTCATGTGATAGCGGTTTAACCAATCAAAGCATGACTGAAGAAACCCAAGCAGGAAGTGGATATTTAACTTCATTCATTTTGGTTCAAAAGTTTGTGTTTCAGTGGCTCTAAAGCAATTAGGAGTGTGGATGCTGGGTGTAAATATGACACCAGCTGAGTAAGAAAACATACAGAGGGACTCAGCTGTTTGATCTCTTGATGAGTTTTTTGTTAAACATACAATGTGCTGTGAAAGGAGACAAAGGGCAGAAATGATAGCCAGTGTGGTTCAATTGACGTTTTACTCGATAGTAAACCCTAAACATTGGATTTAAAATGTCAAACTGTTTCGTGCCAGTCAAGGAAACCAGGACCCAGTTGCAGAGTTCAAACAAAAGGTTTTATTGACAAAAAGGTCACCGTAGAAAGTTCACAAGGAAAATGCTCAAACCAAGTCACAACCGAAAACACTCACCTCCTCACTAGGAGGAAAAGTATCAACAACAGAGAAAAACAGAAAATCACCATATACTGGGAACAAACAACAACCTCAAAGTTACAACAAAAGTTGTAAGTCGAGTTACGTGGCAAGGCACTTAAAAAACTTGTACTAAACTCGAGGAAGACACAGAACTACGCATGGCGACGGGCAGGAGATCACTGAGAGCTAGAGCTTGGTGCAGAAGCAAAGGGAACAATCCGGCACAAGAGACTGGGAGGGAGCAGCTTAAATAGCCAGGTAATTTAGGCAGAACAAGCTGCAGGTATGCTGGAAGCTCTGCTCCCAGAGATCGACCCGCCCCTCATCACACCCCCTGCAGGAAGAGGGAGAGAGAGGTCATAACATGACTTCACAAAACAAGGCAGAAACAGGATTATAACACAAACCAGGCTGCTGAGGTGAAAGGTCATTTTGGAAATGAAAATGTACAAAAGGTTCTGATCTTCGGACTCTGTGTGGCTCAACAACAACATTTCCTCTTTGTTTCTGCCTCCTGTTTTTCCTTTGTGCTCTGTCGTTGGGGATGGGGTTTTTACTTTCCATTTGTTCTCTGTGAAAGCAAAGAGCTGCACTTAGCTGAGGTGACCTAATAGTGCTCTGTGATATACTCTTACTCCTGCTAACAGGGTGCTATCACCGAACAGATCACTGGTAGCGTTACATGATAAAACAATGGCATCCCTCAGCAGGCCAGCGAGTCTTCAGACAGCAGGAACAATAGCAGCTTTGTTCTGAGTCTGCACGGCTCTGTGGGCTGTCCAAAATTATCGACATGCTTCTTCGTCTCCCACCTGATCCCTCCTCCTTACTGTCCTACTCACATCAAATATTTGCACATGCCCCCTTAGGTGGGTTTACTGAGACAGAAGCTGATGAATCACCTTTGGAGTCATGTAACATTTAAGTAAAGTTCAACATGTGATGAAGAACTTTTACTTCTGATAAGCTATTACACTCTGTCAACATGCTCAGGCTCTGGGCCTGCACAACAAAACAGATTTTAGTTATGGAGGAAACTTCAGGGTCAATTCTAGGTTTTAGGTTCAATGAAGGTGGTTCACCTCTGTCGATAATGCTTAAAACTGCGCTTTCACGCTGACAGAGCAGTTTCCTCACTCAAAAACCGTGAGTTTTTAATGGAAGTGGAAGCTCTTTTTCCAGATTACTGCAAAGTCCACATTCAACACATCAGTACCAGTGTCATCCTCTGAAGGACAACTCAATTCTGCAGTGACTGGCATAGCTTTAGACCGAGATGCTGGCCTCTTTCTGTCTGTGTCATCAACCTTGAATCATCATTAGAGTCACTAAAACTCAGTCTTTTCTGGGGAGTCCCTGAACTTCATCATGCTGTAGGTTCCTCTGGATCACTGCTGCAGATGTTTAGCTGCTGAGGACCCGTCTACTTTACAACTGCTTCAACTATGAGCATCAGTCTCTCCTCTGTCCATCTCTCTCTTTCTCCATCTTCCTCTCTCCCCTCTCTAAATCCAGCTCAGTCTCAGCAGATGACTCTCTAACATGAGTCTGGTTCTGCTCGAGGTTTCTGCCTGTTAAAGGAAGTTCTTTAAGATTCCATCTTTACATTGGGTCTTTGTGAATGAAGTCTTGTCTAAACCAGCTTTTTTGTTCAGCATCTTGGGAAAACAATTGTTGTGAATCTGTGCTATATAAATTAAGCAGCTCCCCCAGGTTACTTGATGGATCCATTTCAGTCCAGAGACCGATGCCTTATGGAGACACAGTCAGGCCTGAGAGTTTTGGTCGTAGGTAAATGAGACATATTGGTCTTCAGGAAGAGGCATTCCTGTCGCTCTCATTGGTTCATTCCCATCGGTATTCCTCAAGGGACTCTTTATCTCAATGCTTACTGCTGACACAAAGAGGCCCTTTCTGATCTGCCCTCTGTTACCATAACCAGCTGTTAGCTGTAGCGTTTTATTAAGACTTCATTTTGTGGTGAAAGCACCTCACCGTCTGGCCAGATGCAGCGGTTACTGAGGCAGAACTGAGAGGCAGAGAAGGCAGGAATTCCCAGACCCTTCTCTCCCTCTCTGCTCCCTGCTGCTGCCACTATGTACAACACTCCTCTGGAGGCACTGTCTGTGGACATATATCAGGTGTACTTTTGAAAATTGTTGCCTAAATTAAGCCTTCTGTAAAGCTCAGTGACAATAAGCAAACAACTGAGCAGATTTTCTTAATGTGAAAATATATTTCGACCCTCAGTCACCCACTTTACAAAGAGGAAATTGTTGACCTGCCAAGCTGTAGATAGATCTCATGGGTTCTAAGGTTCATGTCAGAGATTCCTCTCCCCCAGCTCTGTAGAATGCATGGACTTAGGTAAGTGCTGCTCAAAGAGATGGTAGATGTGACACAAAGGAACAGAAAGGTCACAGTCATTACACTCACGCACACCGAGCACTTATGAAAATCTCTGCCCACACACATGCACACACAGACACTGCTGTGATTACTCTGTGATTACACATGGATCCTCTTCAATTTTATCCAGCCCTTCATCTTCATCTAATCTTAACCCTGACCCAACCCTTCTGCAAATACCCAAACCATCTGCAAATAGAGAGATGATGCAAAGTCATTAATTCATGCAGGTCCAAAAAAGTTGTCACATGATGGAGATGTGCTGCAAATGAAAACTTCTTAATAGCAGTGCATTAACAACGGACACAGTGCAGAATGAACAATGCAAATCCAAGGCCCATAAAACCCTGTTTTACTCCATTTTATGCGCCTAGAATTTTTAACTGCACAGAAAGTTAAAAACTTGAAGCCCATGTATCAACATCATGAGTCCAGCCTGCTAAGCTCATAGTTTGGATCCCACTCAGATATCCTTCTTTACAAACTGTGCCCTTGAGCACACTCTGTTCACCTGTGAGTAGCTATGCAACACATTGACTACCAATTAGTCTCACTCGTGTCCTCATGGACATCTCAGTCATTTGTCAGAATGTAAAAAAGGCCTCAGAGACCTCCATGCAGATGAGTGGCAGGAATGGTTCTACTAAGGGTTTATTTTCTGCTGCAGGAAAATAATAAACAGATGTGGGGTGAGGTCCTCTGGCCTGACCAGGATCAGGTTTGTTCATATTATGTTTTATGATCATTTTTTTTTTTTAGTTTAGCTGAAGACTTTGAATTGCAGTAGTAATACATAATATATATTTCTTCAGTTAACTTATTGTATTTGTTCACTGGTTTTCCTTGGAGTGACTTATTGCTCTTACACAGGTGAAATTACAGAGTTCTACTACATACTACATAAAATGGGTGACATTAGTGTTGTAAGCTGTATACGGGCTGCCATAAATTTCACCTAACAGAAAATTCCATGCACTTGCATGCATTTGTTAATGTAACCTGTCCACATGAAATCAAAACTTAGATAAATATTTTTATATCAATTTTTTAACCTCAGTGTATATCTCATTGTCCGTAAGGCATCAACATATAACTGTGTGAACTAGTTTGTGTTTAAAGTGTAGAGAAACCGAGCCACAGTTCTTGAGTTCTCCATTGTTGAGTTCTCTTTTTGCCATTTATTGATTTAGTGAAAAACAAACAAAAAAGACAGGTATGTCAACTTACTATGATGGTGATGTGCATGATGAGGGTGAGAGTAGTGTGCTCTTCCTGTTCCCCAGATCACTGCTTCACCTGTGTCCCTTTGTAGCATTTACCTGCCTATTTACCTTAAATACCCCTTGTGGTGATTGTGCGAGGAACAAAACAAAACCCGAAAATGAATTAGATAAAATGGCTCATGCAGTGATGAATGCACTTACAGTTTTAGAGAAAGACCGTTTAAAAAATGAGCCAAAAAAAGGAGAACCTGTTCATAGCTTTAACATCTCCTTAGAGACTTACCCATGACGCGTTTACAAAGTTCAGACTTTGTAAATTTACAGCTTCATGCAGCATCAGGTTAAATGTGTAATATTTCTAATTCCCAGTCCTTGCAGGTCTTTAAACTGAGTCAAGGACAGGACCCTTCAGACACAGGCCACTTTTAGATGGAAATGGCCTCCATAGAAACAGAAAAATTTAGTTTCTTTTAGGGGGGTCTGTTGAGACGGCAACTGTGTTTTCAGGAGATAAAAACGTAACAAAGTGAAAACCCCCTCCAGAGTGGAAATGTTGTAAACGCTCTGCTAGTCCCGCTTTCGTCAAAAGTACAAAAACGCTGAAAACAGTCAAACCTGTGACACCATGGCTCACGTTTATGACATCATAGCCATGCGCAGCTTCCTTGAAAATAACAACAACAGTCATGCTAGACATTCGAGTCGCGCTGTTGTTATTATTGAACGGGCAGGAGCTCAGTTTCGACCTGTACAGAATCCTCATGGATCATACTGCTCAGCAGAGGAGGCGTCTGAATTATTTGCATCAAATAATTAATGTAGAACGGAAGTTGTTCTACGTATGCGTTGTTGGTCAATATAGGTGCGTGGTCACACCGACACGCACCACTTAGCGACCTGGCATGCACATTACAGCATTTTCAACCACATTGCGTTTTTGTGTAAACACATCATAAAAACTGACAACGAAACGGCACTTTTCCATTTTCTATGGAGACCTTTTCCGTCTAAAAGTGGCCACAGTTCTTGGAAGAGTTCTAGGTACTCATGCAGGATGTATTTTCCTTTGACTGTATTAGCTCATCAGCATGTTTCCACTCATGTTTCTTTAACAACGGGTTTTAAGTGGACTACCAGAACCCTTCTAACAGGAGTAAGGACAACCTGAACATCTCATGTGAATAAGAGAAGTCAGATTGCAGTGAGTCAAAAGAAACTCTTCATCTGTTCATTTAGTGACTGTAAGAGGTCTGAACGCTGAAGTGCTTCTTAAAAACGAGAGTGAACAGAGCGACAGAGGAGTCGGATTTTGAAACCTTCCTGTTTCACATGGACTTACTCTGCAGCAGTTTACTGTACTATTGTAACAGCAATGTGGCCGCAGCTCAAAAATAGAAACCTTCCTTTCCTCTCCCATTATAACCCAGCTTTGTTCGCATGAAGAGCTCTTCATGCTTTAACCTCTCTTTAACTAAATGTTACCCCCCCCCACACACACACATACCCCCCCAACGCACACACACACACACACACACACACACACACACACACACACACACACACACACACACACACACACACATGCACACACACACAGGTTTAGACACGGTGGGATTTTCTACACCATAAGTCCTAGCCCTTAGCATCATGAGATATTGATTTTTATTCACAAGTGTCTGGGAATAAGATTAGATTCGATAAGATAAATTTATCTTGGATTAGTTTAGATTAGATTACATACAACTTTATTTATCCTTTTAGGTAGGTTCCCTCAAGAAAATCAAAAAAAAAATGCACACAAATAAAAACAATCCAAAACCAATAATGTTTCCCTTACTTAAAGTAAACTTGACAACACTGATTCCATAATTGTTATAAATGCTAACAAAAGAAAATATTTAGAGGAAAAAATGCTTTGACTTGGTATTGTCTGCAGAAATCAGTCATTGACTTGATGATCTGTTATCTCTATCTTAATATAAGTAAGGGATGACTTCCATACATTCTCATGTGAATTTTAGTCTTAAACATCATGCTGCCGATTTTGCTCATGTTAGCAGTCTAATGATTGTTTTTGCAGGACAAGTGGCCCAACCAGGTCCGAGATCTTTGCGGATTAAAATCCTAATAAATATCAGGTGGGTTGCAGGTATTTATGAGGTCATTAGACACCTGCAATGGTCCTATGAAGGTAAAAATCAATGAGTGCAAGTGCAAAGGTACAGTGTTTGGTACTTGGCTGCATTAAGCAGAAATAAAACATTTTCATTAGTATGTTTGAATTACTGTGTCATCACCTGAGTATAAAAACTATTTGGTTTTGCACTTCTCCCTCACTTGCAGTGACAAAAGGAGTTCTCTAAGGGTCATTGTTAAGTCTGCTGCTCTTTGTCCTTTACAAAAATGGTTTTAATCAAAATGTGGCCAATGCAAACTTGTATTTTTATGCAGATGACCCAGTGATGTACTGCCCTGCACCTACTCCAGACCAAGCTAAGTTACAGCTTGCTTTTAACACTGTCCAGCAAAAGTTTTTTGATGTACAACTCAGTTGACATGCAGATAATACAAAAGTCATCCTGTTGTCAAATGCAAAATTTAAGTCCTCTATCATGCCGCCATCTTTACTTCACAGGATACAGAGAAGGAGTTTGTAAATATCTCAGTATTTCAATCAATATTTTTGTCTTTTATACCTTATATTCAGCAGCTGGTAGGAAAATTAAAATTGAAACTTTTTTTTATATTTCAGGATCAAATGAGTCTAAAAAGAGACTAGTCTCTGCAATGCAGAAACAGAATAACAAAAATAACAAATATTAATGAGTGATCAGTTGCATATCTTAGCAATATCAGAAACACATCTAGACTCATCTTTTGAGGATTCAGTGCTGAATATTTCTTTATTTGTTTGTTTGGAACCCTTTTAGCTTCCACAAAGTGGTTGCTGGTCTCCCTGGGGTCCAAAAACTTAAAATCACAAGACAATTAACATTTCAACAATTAATTATTAATTGTGGATTCAAATTATGATTCTTCACAACATTTAAAATAACTCCAAAATCTGTGCTTTTTTAGTTTATTCATACATAGTTTTGTTTTAAAGTCCCTTTAATATAATACCTACTGCTTATTTGCTGTGTGCTCCTAGGCAATTGATTCCACATTTCCAAAGATCTAAGATCTACAGAAATATTTATTAAATTTATATATCTGGTTTTAGGAAAAATGGCAGCACAGAGACTGCTTTAGTTAAAATTGTTAATGACCTCAGGTCCAACATGGATAAGAAGCTACCATCTGTTTTAGTTTTATTGGACCTGAGTGCAGCTTTTGATACAGTTGACCACAAAATTATTTTAGATAGACTCTGTAATTTTATTGGTATCTCGGGCACTGTTTTTGACTGGTTTGAATCTTATCTTAGTGATAGACAATTTTATGTGAACCTTGGGGATCGCTCATCTAAATGTTTTGACATTAAGTATGGTGTTCCTCAAGGTTCCATTTTAGGCCCTTTTTAATCTTTATATGTTACCTTTAGGGAATGTTATCAGGAGGCATGGCAGCTATGCTGACGACACCCAACTTTATGTTGCCATATCTTCTGATGACACAGGGCCACTCGATGCCCTTTTAAACTGCATTTTAGACATTAAATCATGGATGGCAGAGAACTTCAACCAGGACAAAACTCAGGTTTTAGTCATTGGGACAGGGGACAAGAGAGAGAAACTGGTCAGCAAACTTGAAGCATTATCCTATAATCCAAGTCAACAAGCCAAAAATGTAGGTGTTTTATTTGATTCAGAATTGAGCTTTGAGCCTCACATATGAGATATCACCAAGAAGGCATTTCATCACTTAAAAAACATAGCCAGAGTGCGACCGTTTTTCTCTCAAGCCAATGCAGAGACACTAATTCATGCTTTTGTCACTTGTAGAATAGATTATTGTAATGCACTCCTTTCTGGTCTCCCCAAAAAGAACATTTTACACCTGCAATTACTCCAAAATTCAGCACCAGAAAGAGAGATCACATTACACCGATTTTAAGGTCTCTGCACTGGCTACCTGTCTCTTGTAGAATAGATTTTAAGGTTGCTTTATTGGTTTTTCAAGCTCTTAATGGCTTTGGACCTTCTTATCTATCTGATCTTCTTTTACCTTATGAGCAAGGTCGAGCCCTCAGGTCTTCAGGAAGTTCTCTGTTAACATTACCTTAAGTTAAAACCAAGACAAACGGTGAGGCTTCTTTTCATTACTATAGCCCCCCTCTACGGAACAGCTTACCTGAAGACCCGAGGACTGCACCTAATCTTAATGATATAAATTTTAATTAAAAGCAAGACTAAAAAGGTATGTTTTCAGTTTGTTTTTAAAATCATTAACTTTGTTTAAGTATTTTAGCATTTATCTCTTCTAGTTTTAATGATAGGATCGTCTTTTATTGAGCTATTTTGGTGGTCTTACTTAAGTTTCTTTTACTGTTGTTTTTATTTTTTCTTAAATTTTATTCTATGTTACTTTGTTTTTAGATTTTAACCTAAACCTCCAGTGTTTCCTTATCTTGAGTTTTAAAATGACATGTCCTCAGTGCGCACATTCCTGTTTTCACGAAATCAAGCACTTTTTAAGTTTATGCATTTAAATACTGTTTCTGATGCATTTAGATCGTGGGGTGGGAATGAGGGGTTGGGCTGGGGTTGATTTGGGTATTCTTTGTTTCTTTTTTTTTTTCCATTTTCTGTGTAAAGCACTTTGTGCTACATGGTTTAGTATGAAACGTGCTATATAAATAAAGACAGATTGCTTGATAAATAACACTGTTCTCCTCATACAATTGGACTTGGAGAATGGAACAATTCGATGACCAGAGCTAACCTGCCGAGTGACATGTTGATGACAATAGCCACTGTACACAAATTTGTCCACAAAGAAAGTTGGATATCATTTGAATATAGCAGTATGCATATAGAAAAGAATATTTGTATTTAGCTTGTTCTGTACCTTTAACCACTCTAAGGCGGTGTGCATCTCATTCCCATTCGTTCCATAAGAACAACCAAGGGCTACCCTGGCAGCTCTATTCTACGCAAGCTGCAGTTTTTACAAATGTCCCTGTCCAGCACTGGACTAAATGACTGAGCTGTACTCCAGGTGTGACAAAACCAGGGACTGGACTACTATTTTCATGACTGAGGGTGGACTTAATTTGCAGGGTATGATATAATTAGAAGAGATAGAAATGCTTTAGGTGGAGGAGTGTCTTCCCTTATTCAGAATCACCTGCCAATGAGAATAAGGAATGATTTAATGCAGCAAGAAGAAGAAGTTGTTATGGCTGCAAATACATTTGCCTAATCTAAAACCTAGTTAATCGGATGCTGCTATAGACATCCGAGTGCAAACAGTTCATATCTGGATATGGTGTGCAAAATGTTAGAAAATGCATGTAATTTAGGCTTTGAAATTTAATTTATGGATGACTTGAACATAGATTGGTAGGGATCATGTCCAATGAAGCAAAAGCTTCAATCGATGGCAAGTGTGTGTGGTGTCACTCAGGTAATAGATAAACTGACGAGAATAACTATGAGAAGATATGGCACACAAACATCCATGCATTGATCATATTTTTACCAACGTGGCTGAACTATGTTCAAAAGTTATATCAGTTCCTGCTGGCTGTAGCCATCATAATTTAGTGGCACTTGCTAGAAGAACTAAAATGCCAAAGCCAGGCCCCAGGGTAATTCTGAAAAGATTATACTAGAATTTTGATCAGCTTGAATTTAGAGAAGAGGTGAGCGCCATCTGTTGGTCAGATGTGATAATGGAAACCAATCAAGAATCATCGCTGATGAAGTCTAACAATACCTTCATGAAAGTGGTGGAAAAACATGTGCCAGTAAAGAAGCTTACCGTCAGAAGTAAGTACACCATGACAAAACAATGGACTAAGAGAATATATGATAGTACAAAATCAAGGTAAATTAACACCTTATAGATCTCAAATTGAATCAGACTGGCTTAAATAAAAAGAAAAAGAAATTCAACTATTAAAATACAATAAAAGAGATAACGAATGATAGCAGAAAGGTCTGGAGTACACTGAACAGTCTGATGGGAAAGAGTCATTAATCTATCCCATCTTTCTTAGAGACATTTTTCTCATTAAACCAGCAGAGATAGCAAACCACTTAAATAATTACTTCATTTAAAAAATTAATGAGTGAAGAAATCAATTTAAAGACATTGACAGCGAATCATCATACTTATTTATAAGAGATCAAATGATGTTTGGGAAGAATTGTAAATTTGATTTTGATACGGTTAGTAAACATTAGTCATAAAGAAAACATGTTGAAAAATTGTAAAGATAAGCCATAAGGTATTGATGAATAAGACAGTAAGCTTGTGAAATTGGTAGTGGATTTGATTGCCCCGGTGATCTGTCATATAATTAACAAAAGCTTAACAGAAATGTTATGTCCTCAAGAATGAAAATGGCAAAAATATCACCACTGCCAAAGAATCCAAGACAGTCATTCTCTGGATCTAATAGTCACCTGATAAATCTACTGCCTGTTTTGCTGTTTTGAGTAAAATTACCGGGGCGGATAATAGCATATTACAGGAGAATGGTTCACTTGCGGATAAAGGAACAAAATTGGCACACATACTCCTTAGGAGTTGCTCTTTTGATATTTCCATCTGGCCAAATGAAAATTCAAGATGGCGGCCATTTTTCAAGATGGCCACCATTGAAAATACGGTAATATTGCATTTTGCAATAAAATCCCATAGACTTGTCCTATTTGGATGATCTTGGTGTCAAATCATACATTTTCCACTATTCAGGACCCATGGAGTAACTTAATGGCTTCCTTTTACCATATTTCAGTCCCAGAATCCTAAAATTCTGGTATTTATGAGGTTTACATTATGTCCGACTTGGGTAAAATGGTTGGTAACATATATCTTAGTGTTGTTAGAGGTCTAGTGTGTGTGTGTGTGTGTGTGTGTGTGTGTGTGTGTGTGTGTGTGTGTGTGTGTGTGTGTGATAGAGAGAGAGAGAGACTGAAAAAAATGTGTCTGAGTGTAAAAAAAATCCAAAAAAGAAAAATGCTTGACCTGCCTGCATTACATCTCACTTAATTATTAGGCAACACTTCTCACTCGCACATACACTTTCTTACAACATTACTATTAATCTGGCTGGGGTGGCACCATGCAGTCATGAAGAAGCTGACACCCAGATCTTTGTGCATGCCAGGCATGCTACAGAAGCAGGCAGCAAGGTCATCATGGTCAAAGCCAACGACACAGATGTTGTTGTCATCGCAGTTAGTGTTCTGCAGGCACTTCAGAACCTCGGTCTGCAGCAGTTGTGGGTTGCCTTTGGCCAAAGACAGAACCTGAAGTGGATTCCTGATCATGACCTGTGTGGCACTCTTGCAGAAAAGAGCAAAGGGATGCTCTTCTTCCATGCATTCACTGGTTGTGATGTTGTTTCAGCATTCCGTGGCAAAGGGAAGAAGGCTGCTTGGCAAACCTGGAATGTTTGTGATGAGGCTTCCAGTGTCTTCAGCAAACTCAGCCATTACCCACCTGTATTGGATGATGAAGACCTGAAAACCCTGGAGAAGTTTGTGGTCATGTTGTACGACAGATCCAGCACAGCTGAAGGTGTCGACGATGCAAGGTTGGACATGTTTGCTCGGAAGCAGAGGCCGTACGAAGCCACTCCTCCAACTCGATCAGCACTTAAGCAATATGTCATGCGTGCATCCTACCAAGCGGGCTGCATCTGGAGTCAGCCAGAAACACATAGTCCTGCCAACTGGGGCTGGACCAAGAAAGGAGATCTGTGGCAGATTGTTTGGACAGAGCTTCCACCCATTGCAGAGAGTTGCCAGCAGCTGACCAAGTGTGGATGCAAGTTGGAATGCTGCGGTCGATGCAAATGCTACTGCTTTGGTCTGACCTGCACAGCACTGTGCAGCTGCAGGTGTGAGGTTTAGAAATGCTGTAGTAAAAGCCTACCCATCCAAACAGCCTACATGTAAAAAAAAAAAAAAAAAAAAAAAAAAACCTGGCTGGGTGGGATCACCACCTTATCGTGGTGGGGCACTTTGTGTGTCTCCATGACCCCTATAGCTATGCCGGATGGAGTATTGTACTCCTGGCAGGGTCACCCACGCCAAACAGCTCGAAGGGTAGAGACCAGACAAAGAGTGATCCCATGGTGCTACCATCCATTTAAGGTAAAATTCAAATTTATCAGAATATTAGGATTTTGGGACTGATATGTGCATTGAGGACACACCCTTGCCCACGCCCTTGCCCTCCTTGCAACCCCCCCCCCCCCCACACACACACACACACACACACACACACACTAGACCTCTAACAACACTAAGATATAGGCTACCAACCATTTTACTCAAGTCTCACATGATGTAGATTCATAAAACACGGGACGTGATGTGACTGTCCATTGTGCCAATAGATGGTGTGCACTCACATGAGATTTGCCGTGATGTTCAGAGTGGCATGGGAGAGCTATGTTCCTAAGAGTGGGGTTAGATGTAAAATTTCAGGACACATCCTCAGTAGTGTTCCTTCGAATCAGGGGGTGTTTCGGCCTTTAAACACTATACACCCTCATCAAAGGCGGCCAGCTACAGGGTGATCAAGCCTTAGCTTGTGTCCCATGCCCAATCATTAGGATTAGCCTAGCTGTAAAATGGCTAATATCCCAAGGGACTATGCAAGGCAGGGGCGTCCTCTTCCCTGAGCCAAGCCTACAGCTGACCGCATACCTCATGGGCCCTCCTCAGGTTGGAGGGTTGGGATTCGGGCTCTCAGGTCGGGGGGGGTCATGTTCTTAGGGCCCAGCAAGGGTCCTTCCGTTTAGCCCATAGCCACTGGCTGCCCCTTTCAGCTGCTTCAGAGACTGATCTGATGGTCTGCCGCAGAGCCTGTCCCTGGATTCCAAGTTCCTTCAGCAGCCTGATGGTGGAAGAGGCCACGAATCCTCTACATCCGACTTCAACCGGACAGACTTTTGCATTCCAGCCATGTTGAATTGCGTCTGCTGCTAGCTCTGTGTATCGCAGCTTTTTTCGCTCATAGGCCTCCTCAACAGAGTTCTCCCACGGGACTGTGAGTTCTATGATGAACACAGATCTTCGTGAAGGAGACCAAAGTACCATGTCTGGTCTAAGGTTGGTGGTCGTGATCTCAGAAGGAAAAATTAGTTGCTGGCCGACATCAACAAGCATTTTCCAGTCCCGGGCCATGGCTAGGTGTCCAGTTTCTGGCTTCGTAGCAGTATGCTTGGGCTTTTCCTGTCCCTCCCGGATGAATGTTGTTGATTTCATGGGGTTGCTTGGTCTTGGGGGTAAGGAGTTGGTTGCATTCCTCTTGATCTCGATTGCTGCAGCCAGGCTCTTGAGGACTTGATTGTGCCTCCAGGTGTAGCGGCCTTGTGTGAGGCTGGTCTTGCAACTTGTCAAGATATGCCTGAGAGTCGCTGGAGCTGGGCAAAGAGGGCAGGTTGGATCCTCGCCATACCACTGATGTAGGTTCTTTGGTGATGGAAGCACATCATATATGGCTCTTATGATGAAACTGATGTTGCTTGCGTCCATTTGCCATAGCTCACTCCAGGTGATTTTTCTCCTCTCCAGGCCTTCCCACCGCATCCATTGCCCCTGTTTAGCAAGAGAGACAGCCTTTGTACCTCTCGCAGTCTCCTCCTGCCTGCGCACCTCTTCAACCACCAGTTTTCTACGCTCAGATGTTGTTGCCTTGCGCCAAGACGGTTTGCTCGCTGCCAGGCCAAAACCTCCTCTTCCATACTGGATATGCCCCAGGATGTCTTGGTTTCTCAGGGCAGATGTTGCTTGCTGGATGGTGTCCATTTCCGTCCAGTTAGTACAGGAGGTGCAGCACTGCTGATGGTATGGTCTCTGGAATCCTGCAATGTCATCTGAAGCCTAACTTTAGAGCACTTGTACTCCTCTGTTAAACTTGTGAGAGGTAGTTCAAGGACCCCTTTACCGTAGAGGCTGATGTTGCTTAGACATCGTGGGACACCGAGCCATTTCTTTGCGCATGTTGTAATGGTACGCTCCATCTTCTCCACCGATGTTATTGGGACCTCATACATGGTGAGTGGCCACATTACCCTGGTGAGAAGTCCAAACTGGAGACACCAAAGCTTGAGCTTCCCAGGCAGTAGGGTCTTGTCGATCCTCTCCAGACCGTTGACAATGTCTTGCCGTAGCTGCTGCACTTGATCTGTATCCTTGAGGCTTGCACTGTACCATCTACCCAGGCTTTTCACAGGTTGCTCAGACACCGTTGGTATCGGGTCATCGCCAATGCAGAACTTCACATCTTTCAGCTGCCCCTTGACTATGGCAACACTTCGAGATTTGCTTGGCTTGATTTTCATTCGTGCCCACTTGATGTTCTCCTCCAGTTTCGCCAGCAGCCGCTTGGTGCAAGCTGGAGTTGTGGTCAGCGTAGTCATGTCATCCATGTACGCTCGGATCGGTGGCAGACGGTGCCCGTTCTTAGTTCGCTCACCGCCCACCACCCATTTCGAGGCCCTGATGATGACTTCCATGGCCATAGTGAAGGCCAGAGGTGAGATTGTACAGCCTGCCATTATGCCTATTTCCAGGTGTTGCCATGTTGTAGTGAAGTCAGGTGTTGTGAAACACAGTTGAAGGTCTTGGAAGTAGGCCTTTACCAGCTTAGTGATGGGTTCTGGTACATGGAAAAAGTTGAAAGATTCCCAGAGCAGTTCATGGGGAACTGAACCAAAGGCATTGGCCAGATCAAGGAAGATGACATAGAGGTCTCTTTTGTCCTTCTTTGCTGCTTGGATCTGGTGCCAAATCATACTGGTATGCTCTAGGCAACCAGAGAATCCAGGAATGCCTGCTTTCTGTACAGATGTATCAATGTACTTGTTCCTTTCCAGGTACATTGACAGCCTCTGTGCCATTATGCTGAAAAAGATTTTCCCTTCGACGTTGAGAAGACTGATTGGTCGGAATTGACTGATGTCAGTGGCATCCTTTTCTTTTGGAATCAACACACCGCCAGCCCTTCGCCATGCCTTGGGTATTATTTCCTTCTGCCACACTATCCTCATGAGTCTCCAAAGAAAACGTAGAACGTCCGGTGTGTTCTTGTAGAGCTTGTACGGTACTCCATTAGGCCCCGGAGCTGATGCCGCTCTAGCTCGCCGGACTACATTCTCAACTTCCTTCCACTTTGGAGGTTCAGTGTCCAGTTTGAATTCTGGAGGATGAATAGGTGGGATGTCATGGGGGATGATTATCTGCTCCTGCCTTTTCGTGTCCTGATGGGCCTTCTCCAGATGTTCTTCCAATTCCTTCTTTGGTGTTTTCAGGATTCCACTCTTGTCCTTAGCAAAGAGGTCTTTGACGAACTTAAAAGGGTTTTTGTAGAACCGTGTTCTTGAGTGTTCCTTCTTCTTACGAAGTTTCCTTAAGTTCTCTGCTCTTCTCAAGGTTGTCAGACGACCTTTGATGTCTGCTTGGAGTAGCATGAGACCTTCTCTCTCTGCATCAGAGGCCTTCTTCCACTGCTTTCTCAGCTGCCTTCTCTCTCTGACGAGTCTCTCGATCTCTTGCTGTCTCCTAGATTTGGCTGGTGCTGGTTGTGTCTTTCCACTTCTCCTGATGTTTACACCAAAGCGCTCTTCTCCATAGTGGTAGATAATGTCTCCCATCCTTTCAAGCTTTCTCTCTGCTGTGCCTGTCTGTTGTTCCAGGATTTTTATCAGGTCGTTGTTGATCATTTCCCACTCTTTCTTCTCAACAGCTTTGGGCCACTTAACACTCAGTCTGTGCCCTTTGATCTTTTCCTCCTTTGGAGGTCTCTGTGGTTGGGTGAAATCATCCACCGGCATATCTGTGCTTGTGTTATTCTCCTCAATGACAGGGGTGCTGATGCTCTGCGAACTTTGGTTTGTGTCCTGTCGCTGTGCTTCATTCGACTGACTTGATCGGTTGCTTTGCAAGAAGTACTGGTCAATGCGAGGTTCCTGTCTCTGCTCTCCCAAGCACCTTTTCCTCCCTTGATGGATCTTTAATCCCCTTGCCGATGTTACTTTCTCCCAACCACAGCTGCACACCTGAAGTGTGTGTCCTGCTGCTGTTGTGGTTTTCTCATGTGCTGTGTTCTTCTTACTCATAGTCGTTTTCGTTCCTGGGTCTGTAGCCGTGTGATCAGTCGGTGAGCCATCTTGCGCCCCAGCTCTCGCAGGCTCTAGGGGTATGTTCCTTAGTTGACTTTCTGTAGCAGGTTTTGCGGGTGTCTCCAACATACTGAAGCAGCGTTGGAGACTGCCAACATGGGTAGCTAGCCCATGACAGCCCCAGTGGGGTCTATTCCCTCCTGTCAGTGGTCTCTCCAAGCTGTCACAGAGACTTTCCTCTGTTGTCAGCTGTCCTTTCACAGCGGTCACCGGACGGATCCGGAGAATCAGATTCATAAAACACGGGACGTGATGTGACTGTCCATTGTGCCAATAGATGGTGTGCACTCACATGAGATTTGCCGTGATGTTCAGAGTGGCATGGGAGAGATATGTTCCAAAGAGTGGGGTTAGATGTAAAATTTCAGGACACATCCTCAGTAGTGTTCCTTTGAATCAGGGGGTGTTTCGGCCTTTAAACACTATACACCCTCATCAAAGGCGGCCAGCTACAGGGTGATCAAGCCTTAGCTTGTGTCCCATGCCCATGTAGACCTAATTAGGATCAGAATATTAGGTTCGGGACTGAAATATGGTACAAGGAAGCCAGTAAGTAAGTCCATGGGTCCAAATTTGGATTCTGCATAGTGGAAAATGTATGATTTGACACCAAGTTCATCCAAATAGGACAAGTCTATGGGATTTTATTGCAAAATGCAATATTACTGTATTTTCAATGGTGGCCATTTTGAAAAATGGCCGCCATCTTGAATTTTTATTTGGCCAGACGGAAATATCAAAAGAGCAACTTCTAAGGAGTATGTGTGCCAATTTTGGTGCTTTTATCCGCAAGTGAACGATTATAAAAGTTATCTGCCCAGCTATTGGGAAAGTGTATGTCGGAAATGTTGGGAACTGTTTTGAGTGCTGTCTGGACTGCTTGGTTCTGGAGTAGATGGGATATCAAAGGGCTAGGAAAATTGGGGTTTGGTAGTGTGAACAGTGTACATGATATATGTGGACCTATTTTGATATTGTGATATGTGGAGATTGTGTAGTGCTGCTGGCCAGGAACTGTCTTTTGTTGTCCATGTGTTGTTGTCTTGTGAATCTCTGTTTGTATATCTGTTTGTGTTTGTCTTGTATTTGAACAAGGATTGTATTGTATGTGATATATTTTTTGCATTGATGCATTGTGAGGTGTTTGATGGACCCCAGGAAGAATAGCTTTGGCATTGCCATGGCTAATGGGGATCCAAATAAATCAAATCAAATCAAATCAAATGCTTTCACCACTGTTTGTACAGGAACGTACAAAGTACAGGAACATCACTCTTCAATCCCAGGACCTTTTCTTATCATCTGTTGCTGTGGTCAGATCTGAGATGGGCAGGAAAAGCATTTAGATTTGCTGCTCCCTTTTCTTAGAATGAACCCCCAGAAATTACCTGGTTTCACTGGAAATTTCAAAGTACTGTTAAACAACCTGGAGGCAGATAAATCAAATGCCTGCGTATGAGGGGATTGAACAGGGTCTTGCAGAAATATTCTCATTGAATTGTAGAAATTTGTTGTAAACATTTACTCCTTTGTATGACAACATTTCTGACAACAAAATCTCTGGCAATTATATGTTTTGTTTTCGTTAAGGGTTGATGACAAGTGAAAAAGTTTCGGATGGACAATCAGACATTTGAAATTTATCATATCTTCCACACTGCTAAACTAATCCGTCATCTCAAATACAAAACCCAATTTCACTGAAGTTGGGAAATTGTGTTAACGTAAATAGAAAAAGAATACAATGATTTGCTAATCTTTTCCACCTATCATAAACTTTATTTTTTTTGCAAATAATCATTAACTTTAGAATTTGATGGCAGCAACACGTGATAAAAAAAGTTGGGAAAGGTGGCA